TAATTTTATTTCAATAATTCGCTTGCGCGTAGGGGTCTTTAGCAGTGGGAGGAAACCGGAAGACCCGGAGAAAACCCACGAGGTTGGACAGGCAACCCTACTCCTTGTCACGTACAACCGTGGTGAAACGAAACCACGCCAGTTGACTTAATGACAGGCCTTATGATACAGCACGCACGTGCTAACCATTCGACCATCCAACCCCCCTGTATATACTTAGAACATCTAGAGGTTATTATAGGTGATGTAGACAGCATGTGGTGTTTTTATCGACAGAAAAACTTAAGTTGAATGACATGAAAGGGGAGAATATTAACTCAATATTAGGTCGATTGTGTCTGGGATATACTAGAAACGTAATAATAGTGGCTGATTGTTGAACGTCTGTTTCCACAGTAGTAATATCGAAAACAAACTCGAAACTTGTGGATAGTGTTTAGTCGTTCGGGTGGGTCGACAAAACAAGGTACCGTTTACACATTGACGTTTACACCATCAAGGTGATATTATATCCCCGCTTCATCAAGGTGTTATTGTATTCCCCCTTCATCAAGGTATTATTATACCCCCCCCCCTCCCATCATCAAGGTGGTATTATATTCGCCGCGTCATCAAGGTGTTATTATATCCCCCACCACCATCAAGGTGTTATTATACACCTCCCCCCCCACCGTCATCAACGTGTTATTATATCCCCCTCCCACCATCAAGGTGTTATTATATTTCCCCCGTCATCAAGGTGCAAGGTGTTATTATATCCCTCCGGCCCCCACCCCCAATTCACCACCATCAAGGTGTTATTATACCCCCGCCCCCGCCTCATCCACCATAAATGTGTTATTATATCCCCCACCCCACCATCAAAGTGTTATTATACCCCCCCCTCCCCGAAATCATCAAGGTGTTATTATACCCCCCCCCCCCACACACACACACACACACCATCAATGTGTTATTATATCCCCCACCCCACCATTAATGTGTTATTATATCCCCCCCCCCCACCATCAAGGTGTTATCACAGTTTGAATAGCTACTATATTTCACCATCAAGCTGTTTTATTATATTCCAGTTTGTATAGTTACAATATTATCAAGGTGTTATTATATTCACGTCTGTATTGATTAGGGTTCTATTCACACCTGAGATTTATACAAGAACCACCGGATGTTAGATTATAGTAATCTACACAACTCATTCATAATCCAAACTCATTTAATAACCTGTACACATTCATAATCATATATAACCACCAGGTATCTATATACCGTGTTTAATATCTTCTCATACCAGACTGATCGATATGATCACTATTATTCATAATCATATTCCCAATATAAAATACACTACGATCGATCTTAGTCTTCAAAATACAAACATTGGTATAATTTTGTAGTTTGCGTAATTGCAGCGTAGTAAAATAGACGGCCATTATTATTCTGCGATGTGTCACGTAATGATATGACGATCTAAGCTGTTGGAATTTGTCGTTTTTATAAGAAATAATCAGGGATTGCACTATGTGATAGAACACAGAGCGATACAGAATCTGAGAATCTTGACCAAGCCCCCCCCCCCCCACCGCGCCCTCTTAATTCTAACGTATAAACTCTTGTTAGCGAACAGCTCCTAGTCCTCAAATGTAGGAACTTGACCCCCCCCACCACCACGATTTAATTATATTTAATACAATTAATTTCAATGGTAGATTATATATCCGTCTATTATTTAATAGGTGAAACGATAGCATTGATTCGTATTACATATCACATTACAACTATAGTTAATGTCAGTGTTAGTCCGGTTTAGAGTCTATTATTCAATCGACACAAGATCGTATTGGTTTGTATTACATATCGTATTACACATGACAGGTCATAAACCCTAATATTATAAGTATAGCAAGTATTATAAACACGTTTAGAGTCTGTTATAGTTTGTATTACATACCACATTACATGTGACAGATCATACACCATAATAATATTATATCAAGTATTATAAACACGTTTAGAGTCTGTTATAGTTTGTATTACATATCATATTACATGTGACAGATCATACACCATAATAATATTATATCAAGTATTATATACACGTGACAGATCATACACCATAATAATATTATATCAAGTATTATATACACGCTTTTAGTTATTTATAGATGGTGTATTTGTTTAGAATCTGTTATAGTTTTTATTGAAATGAAATGAAATGGGGTTTAACGTCCTACTGTTCTGCTCCTATACTGGGCTAATGAAGACGGGCATACGCCATACAGTGTGCTATGAGGGAAATTTTGCCCGGGCAGCGGCACTATCGCCTACTCTTATATCGAATTCCAACTGCCAAGGGATCTTTTACGTGCATTCTAATGTATACACGGGACCTCTGTTTTTTGTCTCATCCGAAGGACTAGACAGCTGTCCTTGTCAGGCCCTCTGTTCTGCACCACTGGCAAGGGGAAACCACGTCGGAAAATCCAGATGAACTTTCTCGGCCAATGCAGGGATCGAAAAAGTGCACCCGACCTCCAGGCTAGCGAGCCAGCGTCTTAACCACCCAGCCACCGTGGCTCCCTATAGTTTTTATTACATATCATATTATATGTGACAGATCATACACCATAATAATATTATAAGTATATCAAATATAGTTATTTATAGCTATGTTTACACCTAATCGAAGAAAAATTGATGGTGTATTTGTTTAGAATCTGTTATAGTTTTTATTACATATCATATTATATGTGACAGATCATAAACCATATATTATAAGTATACATTATTTGAGTTATTTATAGCTGCGTTTACACCTAGGTAATCGAGGACAAATTGATGGTGTATTTGTTTAGTGCCGTATGTACACATTTACATTGCAATACGGTCCAGAGTGTTGCGTCATCTTGAAAATTGACCTCGAAAAATCGTTAATAAATACAATAAAGTCAAAGGAAAACGGTTGGAGAAATGGCAGTGTTGCTGTGTGTTTGATAACCTCCATGCCCGTTTAGAGGCCTACGGTATTATTGGTTTAAACAGGTATATCTATGACTGTCATCGCTATCCTTTAATATCGGCAAGGACCAGCGTCTAGTCATTCGAACGGGACGAAAAACCTAGGTTCCATTCACACATCAGTAGGAATTCGACGCAGACTAGGCAGAAACGTCATAAACCCAAACTTTCCTCTTAGGCCACATGGTTTAGGGCCGTCTTCCTTAGCCCGGTTGGCGCAGAGAAGAAGGGCGTTAAACCCCATTTCATTTCCATAATTTAACCACTATATTTAGATTGATTGTTTATTATACCTTGTTGTATTCTACAGTTGGAATTCGACGAAGAACAGGCGGAAGCGCCACCGCCTGGGCAAATTCCCACATAACATCTATGATGTATGGCCATTTCAATAGCCCAATCGGTGCAGAAAAGTTCTACTCCATTGCATTTCATTTCCATAACTTGACCACTATATTTAGATTGATTGTTCTCAATGTTTATTCAACGAAAAACAGAAGCAAACGCCACCGCCTTGTCAAATTCCCACATAACATAACTCTACCGTGTATGCCCATCTTCATTAGCCCAATCGGTGCAGAAAAGTTATAGCCTACTCCATTTCATTTCATTTCCATAATTTGACCACTATGTTTAGATTGATTGTATTTGATGTTTATTATACCTTGTTGTATTGGAACAGAACGGGATGTATACAATCAGAACGAGTATCAAGGGAATACATGCTTGTGTATTTATTGTTTAATATCCATAATAGAAATACGACTAGATATCTATATTATTGGACACACTATCTGTACATCAGCAATAAATCCTGACTTCCAGTTGATAATAACTCTAAAACCAAATAGTAATCACTCACTTCAATATTTTCCCGGTTTTTAATTATCTACAATCAATGTTTTGTCCGTGCCTACTGCCACCTCCTTTCATAGAAACATTAATAGTAAACAATATTTTTATTGAACCCGTTGGTCGTCCATAGTCTATAGCGGTCATAGATATTTTCCGACGTGGTGCAGGACGGAGAAACTGACATGGCCAGCTGTCTATTCATTCGGATGAGACGAAAAACCGAAGCCCCGTGTATACATTGGCGTACATGTAAAAGATCCCTTACGAGTAAGGCGTAGCGCCGCTGTCTGGGCAAATTTTTCTCTCACAGTACACTGTATGGCGTATACCCGTCTTCATTAGCCCAATCGGAGAAGAACAGTAGGACGTTAAACCCCAATCATTTCATTTCATTTCATTTATGATACAAAACATATAAAACTGTTAACATATGTTTACTGATCCAGTTGGCCATCCATGGTTTGAAAAGTTGGCGTAACGAGAAATCTAACACTGTAACCACAATCCTATTGTCTAAAGTTTAATTTGGTTTAAATCTATTTATGTTAAATCTTAAATCTTTTCAAACCTTAAACTTTCCATCTTGAATTACATATGCAGATAACATAATTATGCATACGTTTTATTAACTCACCGGTGTTGAAATAAATAGCTATCCGTTTGATTAACTCACCGGGAGTTGAAATAAATGGTTATCCGCTTGATAAACTCAATCGACGTGGACGTAAATATGTGTCAGTTTGAATAACTCACCCGGAGATGCAATAAATATACATACGTTTGATTTACTCACTAGGTTTGGAAGTAAATAGGTACAATTTATAAGTCTTATTAGCCCACCAAAGGTCATATTCCTGAAGCAACGACTGTGAGTTTTACAACAGCTGGATAACATGTACGTAGTTAAAGCGAGATCAACCCTTCTATTGAAGATGACCAAAGGTACGATTGGGCCTTTAATTAACAACTGGATAACACGTATGTAGTTAAGGCGAGATCAAGCGTTCTATTGGAAAAGGCCAAATGTGTGATTGGGCATTTAATCAAGTTAATGGAGCGGCAAAACGTCTATTCGGTTGACGCGGACGTCAAATCCCATGAAAGAAGGAATAAAAATGTTGACTCACCTGTCTAATTTGTTCTGTTAATCTCTCGTTTTGTTGCACAAGATCTCTGATTGTATGGGATCGTTCTTTATCCCCTAATAGAGAATTATGTTGGTTGTCTTCTAGTTGCTGGTGAAGATGGTTTATATCGTATTGTAGTTCTTTCACTGTGTTCTCATATTCCATCTCCATCTTCTCCAATCGTAGATGTAGACCATACTTCTCTTGTTCTAATTCCTGATAAAACAAATCACACATATTAGTCTGGTAGCTTAGGACCAGATTTGAGATGGATGTGGACAATCCGGGAAGGAAAACGCCAAATCAAACTGATTACAATACAAATCTATATTTCGTTTCGTTTTTTTTATAATTTCGATTGCTTCGACTACAAGAGAAGACACTTAAAACGAAATTTTGAACTATAAAAAACGAAACGAAATAAGATCTGTGTTTTAATCAGATTGTGCCAAATTTCCCCCAGATGCTTCTTATTGAATTAACTTTTCATTTTTGATAGGTGCCACTTCCTTCAAATATAATTGTAGTCCTTTACCCAGACAATTTTGATCCTAAATGGCTTAGGAGCTGAGATATTGGTAAATAAGGGTTTTTACATAGCGAAAATCTTACAGATCCAAGATGGTTATCCTAAGAGGAGTGGTGCTTATCAAAAATGGAAAGCTAAGGCAATCCAAAGGATCTGAAAACAAAATGGCGCTTTTGTCCGGAACGTCTACATCAACTTGTTATAAGCTGCCTTACTGTATACATCTAGGGGGTGTGATCTAGTGGCTTAACGCCTGTGCGTAAAATCATAAGGTCTGTCATTGAGTCAAGTGGCGTGGTTTCGATTACCAGCTTGTGCGTGACAAGGGGTAGGTTCGCCTGTCCAACCTCGTGGGTTTTCTCCGGGTCCTCCGATTTCTCCTCCCACTGCTAAAAAACCCCTACACCCAAGCGAATTATTGAAATAAAATTGGAAAATATGTTAGTCCCGAAATGACTCAGTTTGTGTCAAGAAGTGGACCTCCCTCCCTCTCTCTCTCATCAAAATATGCTTCTTTAACGGGTTCATATACTGAAACCTCAACCCAAATTTCTTAAAACTCAACCCAGATCACCCCAGACCGCGCATGCCTCAACCCGAACCGCTCCGAATCAAACGATTAAAACCCGGAGACTGCACACCTTGCAGATTGGTTTATAATCTTTAAGATGAAAATTTTACGTTAGTAGATTAAGCCAATGTTAAATAATATAATTTATTTTATGATCAGTAGTGGAATACCGCGTTTTATCAGTGAAATAAAAGTGTTATTCCCCTGGCTAGCAGTAGTCCATGTTGTTTTTACCTAAAATGATTGTAAAATCATAAAATAAATAGAACATTTGTCGTTTTGTCGTGAATAACATATTTTATTTCATCTCTAAGCAAGAGAAACGTTTATATTTTCACTCATGCTACGCATTCGTGAAATATAAGTTTTCTTGCTTCTCGATGAAATAAAATATGTTATTCACTCTAAAACGACAAATATCCTCTATATGTATCGTACACGCGACCTCCAGACTATAGCGAGCCAGCATCTTACTCACTTATATATATATATATATATATATATATATATATATATATATATATATAAAATTCATCGAGATTTTCCGACATGGTTTCCCCTTGTCAGTGCTGCAGGACGGAGATGACGAAAAACCGAGGTCCCGTGTACAAATTGGCATGCACGTAAAAGATCCCTTGACAGTTGGAATTCGATATAAGAGTAGGTCCTAGTGCCGGTGCCCGGGCACAGTGTCCCTTATAGCACACTGTATGGCTTATGTCCGCCTTCATTAGCTCAGTCGTAGCAAAACAGTAGGATTGTAAACCCTGTTTCATTTCATGCCATTTTTTTTTTTTGCATCTTTATTTACACCACTACAATGAAATGTACCGGAAAATAAGAAATTATTATTATTCGGGAAAACATCCACCAATTGTTGTGATATTATAAATCGCTTCTTTATGTAGTCGTAACAGAACAAATAGACTGCGTGTAACTGTAATCTCATTTTTACATAATTTTTACTAGTTGATAAGTTATAAAAATATGTACCGCTCCTCTTTTACCATTTCCGTGATCATTTATTACTTATGTTAATAATAAGGATGCTATGTCGTAACCCTGATGTACTCCAACATGACAAACATTATATTAGCGAACTCAACGGTCCCTTATAAAAAGAGAGAGAGAGAGGGGGGAAGAGAAAGGGGGAGAGAGAGAGGGTTTAACGTCCACTCGACACAAACTGGGTGATTTCTGGACTAACATATGGTTCAATTTTATTTCAATAATTCACTTGCGCGTAGGAATATTTAGCAGTGGGAGGAACCGGGGGAGTCGGAGAAACCCCACAAGGATGGACAGGCGACCCTACTCCTTGTCAGGTACAACCATAATAAATATTAATATCTTAAAGTTGATAACCCCTGGGTCGCCGAACCAGTTCCTCGGTATTCTCCGGCGTTATTTCCCCTTGTCAGTGGTGCAGGACGGATGACCTGGTAAGTATAATAGGATCTGATCGTTCGGATGGGACGTAAAAGAGCCCTTGACAGTTTGAATTCAAAATAAAAGTAGGCCATAGTGTCGCTGTCCGTTCAACATGCCCCCACCATTGAAAGTGGAAACCACGTTGGGAATCCCGGCGAACTGGCTCAGCTAGCATCAGAATGAACCCTGAGTTATCAGCTTTACGGTGATGATATTAATCGTCTTTTCATCACGGGGAGGGAGGGAGGCGCTTAACGTATGCGCTTTAGATCAGAAGGTCTGTCAATGTTCGTTTACATTAGTCCGGTTGGAGAGAAAGCGAGAGAGAGAGAGGGGGGGGTAACGTCCATTCGACACAAACTATGTAATTTCGGGACTAACATATGGTTCTAATTCGCTTGCGCGTAGGGGTTTTAGCAGTACGAGGAAACTGGGGGTCCCGGAGTTAACCCACGAGGTCACGTACAACCGGGGAATCGAAACCGCGCCAGTTGACTCAATGACAGCGCGCACGTGCTAACCATTCGGCTATCCAACCGCCCTAGTCCGGGTGGAGAAGACATTAAATCCCATGTAATTTATATCATTTACGTTGATAACTAGGGTACGATGACAGCACCCCGCTGGACCCAATAAAAACATCATTTGTTGCACTTTAAAGGTCGAGACGGAAAAGGGAAGAGTTGTAAATGTAAATGTTAAACATTTTAAAAATAATATTTTATCTCCGGCTTTGTGTCCATGTTCGAGTAAACATAAAACAACCATAAAAATGAGTAAGTCACAGCATTATATCCCACTTACATAATTTGTTGGGTAATAAACACATGTGGGGGGGGGGGGTAACACGGCTGTGTCAAATATAAAATTGCTTATTTTATTAGTTGAGCCAAGATGGCTCAGTGGGTGGGACGTTCCCGTTTTCGATCCCTGCGTTGACCGAGAATGTTCATCGGGATTTCCCCCTTCTTGTCAGTGATGTAGGACGGAGGACCTGCCAAGGAATAACGTATAGTCATTATGATGGGACAAAAAACCGAGATCCCGTGTAGACCTTGGCGTGCACGTAAAGGAACCCTTGGCAGTTGGAACTCGAAATAAGAGTAGGCCGTTGCGCCGCTGTCCCTAATAGCACATTGCATGGCGTATGTCCGTCTTCATTATCCCAATAGGAGCAGAACAGGAGGACGTTAAACCCCATTTCATTTCCTTTCTATTTTATTAGATTTTAGATTTTGATTTGTCTTCGGTGAATATTGTATGTCTATAGATAAAGTCAGTGTGGAGATATAACCAAGGCTTTGTTCGACTGTCGACATAATAATTCAAAATGAAAATAAAATTAGAAAATATGCCAACATCCGCATAATTTCGAAGCAACAGTTTAATTGTACAGATCATGACCCATTCCTAATCAAAATAACAAATCAGTTGATCCTAGTTCAATACCTTTATCTGACCTAGATCTAAGCGACATACATGTAGCACCTTTAAAGTTGGCTATCAACTTCTACTAAAATATAATTTTATAGTTTAAATCGACATAAAGATATGATCAAAGATTGATAAATACAGACCTCGGGGTCAATTCACTGGGCTCGTTACAAAGTAATCCATCCAGGAGTATGCATGTGGAGTGGGTTGGTTGGTTGGTTGGTAGAGAGAGAGAGATGGGGGGGGGGGGTTAAGTCCAGTCGACACAAACTATGTCAATTCAATTCCTATAATTCGCTTGCGCGTAATAGTCTTTAGCAGTGGGAGGAAACCGGAGGTCCCGGAGAAAACCCACGTTGTTGGACAGAGGACCCTACTCCTTGTCACGTACAAGCGGAGAATCGAAACAACGCCACTTGACTCAATGACAGACCATATAAACGAATGCGCACGTGAAACCACTAGCCCACCCAAACCCCCACCTGTGGTGTATACCTGTATGCTAATGATCAAGGTAAATTATCGGGAAGGTGTGATATTATTATAAACTAACTTGTACGACAGTTCGTTAATCTCCTGGCAAACATGTATTCATGTTAATTCCGCCTATTTCTCGAATAAAATGAATAAATTATCCGGTATCTGTCGTATTATTAAGTTGAAAATAGAGTCACGTCGGTAGGAAATATCGCCAATCTACAAACAAACATATCTCGTCCATGCCCCAAATAAAAGACTTCTTCTTTGATTGGCATTTAGTAATTGAACATATTAACACAAGGTACAATTTTATACCTACTATTCACATACCTGTACCATTTGCTTGATAAAGATGAGAGTATGCTCGTCGAAACGTGGCTTATTAGTATTAAAATCAGTAATTGTGTATTCATAAAATTGTACCTTGTGTTGTTCGTGATTGTTTCTGGGTAGTTCTACAAACTAACCACCCGTTCAGCTACATTAGATACACTTTTCATTTATTTGGGTTTCCGACGTGGTTTCCCCCCTTGTCAGTTGAGCAGGATGAATGGTCTGTTAAGGACAACTGTCTAGTCGTTCGGATGGGACGAAAAACCTAGGTCCAGTGTATACATTGGCGTGCAGGTAAAGGATCAATTGGTAGTTGGGATTCGATATAAGAGTAGGCCATAGTGCCGCTGATCGGGCAAAATGGCCCTCATAGTACACTGTATGGCGTATCCCCGTCTTCATTAGCCCAGTTTAGGAGCAGACTAGTAGAACGTTAAACCCCATTTCATTTCATTTAGTCCACACTAACACTACGGTAGCCTACATGTTGTAAAAGTCAGAGACCTAGTAAAGGAGATTAAAATCTAGTATTGACTATTGGTAGACGGATTAACTTGCGGTCCAGGTTAACTAAAGTGTGACTGTTGAGGGTGTTGAAACCTGGACTACTACAGATTAACATCGCTTGGGTTACTAAATCCTCAAACATTAGTTTTATTTTAAACACGAAATCCAACTGGTCACAGCTGACCATTCTAAAAAAACTTTTATAGAGTGGCTTGTATCGGATTCTCCCAATACAAAACATGTTCGATAGAAAGGCTACTCGGCATAGTAGACCATTGTCCAAGAGAACAATGGGATTAAAACAAAATACAGATTACAAGAAAACAAAATGATCAGCTGTTCAAAATGCGATAAATTAATAAGCAGTTATTTATGCATAATTACACAAATAATTGTACAAATAAGCACGTAAAAGATCCCTTGACAGTAAGAATTCGACAAAGTGTAGGCAGAAACGACACGTTATTTGATACCGGTATATAAAGTGTATTCGGTCGTTGGAAAACAAAGGACAAATGAAATGAAATGAAATGGGGTTTAATGTCCTACTGCTCTGCTCCAACTGGGCTAATGTAGAAGGCATACGCCATACAGTGTACTATGATGAACATTTTGCCCGGACAGCGGCGCAAAGACCTACTCTTGTATCGAATTCAAACTGCCAAGTGGTCGTTTACGTGCACGCCAATGTGTACACAGGACCTTGGTTTTTCGTCCCACCCGAACGACTAGACAGCTGTATTAATTAAGAAGCTTAACCAGTTTGTAATGCCTGGTGACAGATCGGGAATAATACATAAATATGACTTAGTCGCTAGAGTTCGGGTGTCATGATTAATCATTATCGAACACCTGATACCACTTCTAGTTTAATTAAGAAGCTTAACCAGTTTAATATGCATGGTCACAGATCGGGAATAATATAAATAAATCGATGTTCAAAAACTGTGGGGATAAAATATCCACAAATGTAGATGACTGCTGACAACAGAAGCAGAAGTAGTCGCTCTTCTCTGGCGAACTGACGAATCTGATATATTTAAGTATTGAGAATTATGTGTTTGAAATTTGCGTTCTGTTGTTATATCTGTGGACATCAAATAATTACATTCATTTGTGATTTAATATTTTATACATATACATCAGGACACGGAACGTCATTTACATAAATGTTATTATTATCCGTGGACATCAAATAATAACATTGGTTTGTGATTTAATATTTCATACAACATATACATCAGGACACCGAACGCCATTTAAATAAATGCTATTAGTTGATGGCTACAGAGATAACAACAGAACGCAAATTTCAAACGCATAATTCCCAATACTTAAATATATCAGATTCGCCAGAAACGCGACGAAATGTAGATGGCTGTTGACAACAGAAGCAGAAATATCGACTGGTTATAAAGCTGATCAATAGATATACATATATAATAAATGTTTCCACATCAGTAAATAATCTAACACCTGAACTGTTCTCTAGCTTCAGGCAGGGCTGACTGTTAGCTTTCTCATTACTTATCATATAGTCAATACTTATATCGACTTTTTTTATCCGTACAAGTACAAAACCACGGTTCACTACATGTATGTTAACTGTCCAGGTATTGGAGAGAGAGAGAGAGAGGGGGGGGGGGGGGAGAGAGAGTGGGCGGTAACCTATGGACAGTTGTTGTTTAAAAACACAAAAGTACAAGGAAACGTGTTAGCTGTCTTAGCTATGTGTTAAGTATACGCGTAGGCTAATCACTGTGTTAACTAGCTGTTAGCTATATGCCAGCTAGCTGTTAACAATATTTAAGCTTTTGCTTAGCCATGTGTTTGCTATGGCTTAGCTGTCTGTCAGCTAGTTGTTTTAACTTTGACTTAGCTATGGGTTAGCTATGAAATAACTATTGCTTAGCCATGTGTTTGCTATGGCTTAGCTGTCTGTCAGCTAGTTGTTGTAACTTTGACTTAGCTATGGGTTAGCTATGAGATAACTATTGCTTAGCTATGTGTTTGCTATGGCTTAGATGTCTGTCAGCTAGTTGTTTTAACTTTGACTTAGCTATGGGTTAGCTATGAGATAACTATTGCTTAGCTATGTGTTTGCTATGGCTTAGATGTCTGTCAGCTAGTTGTTTTAACTTTGACGTAGCTATGAGATAACTATTGCTTAGCTATGTGATAGATATGGCTTAGCTATGTAAACACTCCAAATGCACGAGAAGTGATATCAATTGTTCTACAAAGAGAAAGCTTCTAAGTATTTATCATATCAGTATGTCAGGTTGACCATAATTTTACCTAGATCAGTTCAAATTAGTTTTATTTCATTGATTCAAAAACCTTTACCTGGATAATTGTAGCTTCGGGCTAATTGTTATATTTATTCTAGTATAAATATTTCGTATCTAAACGATTCATCTATACCTGGTGTAGACATGACTGGTTGGAATTGGGGTGATATATTAGATTTGACCCAAAGATATACATGTATACACCTCGTGAGAGGAAAAATTAATGGGGGTTAACGTCAACTCGGCACAAACCAGGTCACTTTGGGACTAACATATTCAATCTTAGCGCAAAGGAGTTGTTTTTAGTGGGAGGGGGGCGGGGAACCCGGGGAAATCCACGAGGCTGGACAGGTAACCCTACTCATGGTCACGTAAAAGCGGGGAATCGAAACCACGCCACATGACTCAATTTCAAACCTTATGATCTAAAGTGCACGCGTTAAACCATTCGGTACCCAACCTCCTTTCGCTAAACGGTTGAACTAATAAACTTTGAAATTACTAACCTCTATTCTGTGTGAGAATTCATCAGAAGCCTGTTCGGCTTTTTTCTCCAAATCTTGGTTCTTCTCTAACAAAGCTTTACCAAGTTCAGCAGCCAACAGGAGATCACGTTCTCTCTGTTCTAGCTGACTATAAACATCCGGTTCCTCTTCCTCGGGCATCCCCCCTTCCCCATCCTCATCCCTCCCACCGTCCTCCATATTATACATCTCAACCTGGTGCTGCAGCTCCTCGTCCATCAGGAGACTCATCTTCAGATGATGATACCGAAGATATATCTCTATAATCCTTTTTCAGATTTTTCACACTTAGTGATCTGTTTTTTTCCTAATATAAGTAATTCGGAAGGGTCACTTTATAGACAATGTGATATCCAAACTCACGTAGAAAATCTACAAAATATGATTCACAATTCTAAACACACAATCCACAATAATTAGTTCTCACTTTGTAATTCCCAGACTCACTTTAGTTAAATAAATTCCGACACAGTTTCACTTCTCTTTCTTATAATCCAAATCATTTATCCTTTCTCGGGTCTTGGATGAACGTTCAAGTTGTCCTATCACTCGTCTTGTTTCGTCGTTTTAACACTTTCACAGAAACACGTGTTTATTATGACACAGGCAGTGGTTACAACTTGTAATGTTTGGTAATAAAAACACATACAAGGATCTGTCCCTTATTACCCCTAGATTAACCTATTATCAAAATTAGGGTCGACCTTGACCAACAATTCAATTCCTTAATCGTGTTAATCCGTTAATCTACCAACAATTGAAGTTAGTTAATTCATCGTTTATGAATTCATTCATTATTTTGTTTACTTTCGGTTTCGTATACCTTGTCACTATGGTAACATTATACACAGATCAGGTTAATTAATTAGCTGATAAGCACCGGGAATAATCTGCCCTTCGTAATTTGTTTCACACCGTGGATTAAATGACGTTATAATTTTAACACAAAATCTTCAGAAATAAACCGAGATTCTGTCGTAAATTTATTTAAAGATTCGTTTGTCTGTCTTCGGAGAAAGGTGAATTATTGGTGACATTGCAAACTGTTATTACTGGTGATTTATTGAACTATGAACTATGAAATTTAATTTTGAGATATTTTAAAATTAATGAGATTGTTGATTTTTTTTGTTTTTGAATTAAAACCAGATTATCGAAATTGTTGAGATTATTTTAAGATTTGAGATATTTTAAAATCATATGGTTAAAACAATAAATGAGATAGTAGGGCTTATATTCAGATCGTGGCTACTAAACAGATGGTTTTACAAATTAAATGTTTACATATGAAAGGTTTACTGTTATTTCTGTGTCGAAAGGTTAAAGGTTGTATTTGAGTTGAAAGGTTATATTTGTAGAAAGTGAGAAATGGGTTATTTTTTTTCTACAATTTTAAAAGTTTATACACTATATACAAATATATCTATAAACTATGTATTACATAGTTGTCAGTTATTATTACACTGTGTATTACATAGTTGTCAGTTATGATACACTATATGACGTATTATATACTTTATGACGTAGATATATATAGTACGTATATCAAAACCATACACTGTGTATTACATTGCTCACATATTAAACACTTTGTGATGTATTCAACACTTTATGACGTAGAATAATATAGTACGTATATTGAGACCATAAACTGTGTATTACATTGCTCAAATATTAAACACTATGTGACGTATACATAAACTGGGTTTTACATTATTGCCTGGTATACACTTTATACACAATATAACTCACATAACATCGTATATTAATACATTGTATAACACAATATAACGGTAGATGTTTTTAATGTTATAATTAATTCTTCTACATTGTTCCAATTTCTCTTTTTATCTCGTGCGCAATATTATATATGTCGCTTGTTTTGTATTACATCAGAACGGCGTGATTCATTGATTCCAGGATAAAATAGTTTTTTCATTAGGTAATGACGATTTATAGACGAGTATATCACCCGGAATATATCCCCGGTTTTTATAACATCCAACGTTTATCGGGTTTAATCATCGAAGTACACTATCTGTAATATAAATAAACACTTTGATATATAACAACATATGTAAATGAAATGAAATGGGGTTTAACGTCCTACTGTTCTGCTCCTATGCTGGGCTAATGAAGACGGGCATACGCCATACATTGTGCTATGAGGGAAATTTTGCCCGGGTAGCGGCACTATCGCCTACTCTTATATCGAATTCCAACTGCCAAGGGATCTTTTACGTGCATTCTAATGTATACACGGGACTTCGGTTTTTCTTCTCATCCGAAGGACTAGACAGCTGGGGGTTCATTTCGGTATTCGCATATTATGGTACAATTTTATTTCAATAATTCGCTTGTGTTTAGAGATCTTTTGCAGTAGGGAGGAAACAGAAGACCCAAAGAATAATTTGACTCAATATCAAACCCTTATAACCTCGAGTGAGGGCGTACTATCCCCGCCCCCACTCCAACTCCACACGCACACGTACTAAAATATTCCCTAATAAAACTCCCATTTTAATCTAGTTAAGACAATGTCTTACTTCGTTCCGGATATGGGAGTCGTAAAATAAACAACCGTAAAATAAAAAGAAACGAAAGGTGGGTATCATCTTAATGAGACTACTTTACTACCTAAGAACGTCGCTGTCCGGGCAAAATTCTCCTGTCTCATATTATATACGTAACCATAGAAAAAATAACAATTGCTATATGTTTGTAATAAAAATAACCGCGGTATTGTGTTGACGCGACATCACTATTACACTCTTTTTGTCACTGAAATTTGACTGTTCGTTCGGATCGATGGCATTACATTCTATATCAATGTAATGTCAACTCATCCATTATTTTATTTATTTACATTTTCAATTAATTGATTACATGGCAGTGTTTCCGTCTATGATTCATCCGGTTGCTCAGTCGGCCATTTGATCGTACGATTCACCATACATAATAATATTATTGACTATATTCCTACCACTTTATGTATCTCAGTCGGCCATTTGATCGTACGATTCACCATACATAATAATATTATTGACTATATTCCTACCACTTTATGTATCTCAGTCGGCCATTTGATCGTACGATTCACCATACATAATAATATTATTGACTATATTCCTACCACTTTATGTATCTCAGTCGGCCATTTGATCGTACGATTCACAATACATAATAATATTATTGACTATATTCCTACTACTTTATGTATCTCAGTCGGCCATTTGATCGTACGATTCACCATACATAATAATATTATTGACTATATTCCTACCACTTTATGTATCTCAGTCGGCCATTTGATCGTACGATTCACCATACATAATAATATTATTGACTATATTCCTACCACTTTATGTATCTCAGTCGGCCATTTGATCGTACGATTCACAATACATAATAATATTATTGACTATATTCCTACTACTTTGTGTATCTTTTTTTGTAAACAATATTTCATTTATGAAAGGGGATCAGGGAACAGGCATAGCCTATATTACCCGTCTCCTCATACAAGGAATATAAAACATATCATATACAGATCATATTATAAAATAATGGTGAAAATCATATAAATTAAATAAGTTTTATACACACTATTTATTACAAATGGAAAAAATGAGAAGTGCTGTTTTATAACATGATTAAAATTGTTCTATAAATAAAATCAGATATTGATCAAGTGTCTGATAACATCAAAGTATTCATGTACCATTTTAAAGATGTTATTAGTTGTAGCCTGATTATCTATGCCTAACGAAGAGAGAGAGAGAGAGAGAGGGGAGAGAGAGAGAGAGAGAGAGAGGGGGAGGGGGGCGACTCAATATTTCGCTTGCGCATAGGGGTCTTTAGCAGTTGGGAGGAAATCGGGGGACCTGGAGAAAACCCACGAGATTGGACAGACGACGCTACTCCTCGTCATGTGTTTAATGTAAGTCCCGAAATGACGTAGTTTGTGTCGAGTGGACGTTAAACCCCATTTCTCTCTCTCTCTCTCATATTAAAAATACACTTTAAATTGTATCACAGTCAATGGGAATATTATTCATAACTAAAATAAATTATTAATATAATATATTCCATAAATAGCTTGCTATACTCCACCCTCCCTTCTATTATATCAAAATCCTAATTTTATCATATTAAAAATACACTTTAAATTGTATCATAGTCAATCTCATGAGAGTATTATTCATAAAAAGCTTTTATATACGTTACTGACTCCCTGCTTATACCATATCAAAAATAGACTTCAAGTTGTATAAAAGATGCAATTATCAAACGATAGATTTAGTAGAGCGTTAAACTCCATTTCAATTCTATACATGTAGCTAATATATTGTCATTCAACTGGCGTGGTTTCGATTCCCCGATTGTACGTTACAAGGAGTCGGGTCGCCTCTCCAATCTCGTTGGTTTTCTCCTGGTCCTCCGGTTTCCTCCCACTACTAAAGACCCCTACCCATATGTTAGTCCCGAAATGATCTAGTTTGTGTCGAGTGAACGTTAAACCCCATTTCTCTCTCTCTCACTTTATGTCATAATTGCATCATTTGTGCAATTTGAAGTCTATTTTTGATATGATAGAGGGAAAAGTATCATTATCCCAACATGTTACCTGTGATGACGTTAAACCCCACTTCATTCCAACATGTTACCTGTAGGATTATAACGTCACGTAATCATTCTACCTGTATAGAAATAATAATTATAACCCTAGTCGACAGTTCGTGTGAATTATTATTGATTACTCTAGAACACCTCGACTATCCCACGTCAATATGTATATACAGGTAATATATAATTTTACCTGGGTTCGTGTCACAGCGACCATTTTTACCCGTACCTGTCTGATTATTCTACCTGGTCTTTACAGGTGATCAGGTAATTAGGTGACGTGCAGGATGAAAGATGCTAATCTAATCCACAGTACAAGACGATCAATATTTCATCTCTTATAAACTCCACATCTCCATCCCTCACCTGTGGATTTTACCAGGTAAAACAACACACCTGTAATTAGTTGCTAATTACAGGTAGAATGTTACACCTGTATATTAAAATCGAATATCAATAATCTCTAATCTGTATTTTTAAATCCGTGATCTTTAAATCATAATATTCATATTTATCACCAGATTATGACAATTTTGTTTTCTCTTAACTCACCTGAGCTCGTGTCGCTTGGTGAAACCTCACAGGTAAAAAGATAATCAGTTGTTTAACAGATGTTTTAAATCACACGTGTATATAAAGCTAGATATAAACTCCAATCTTTAAACGAAATTTTCTCCAGTTAATTTCCATGTTGACAGGTAAAAAGTGACCCAGGTTGGTGTTGATTATCTTCGTCTACCTGCAGGCAAACACTACGTCACGTACGCGTTGAACTATTGTAGACACAATCATCATGTCATTCATAATATGATTAGCTGCACACGTAACACGAGAGACATGATGACAGCAACACAATGCATTGTTATAGTCTCGATCATCAGAGCGGTTGTGACTGCTGAAAAATCGATAAAGCCAAATAACTTGATGATCGCGTGGATAAAAACAATCGATTTTGTTTGAAGTATAATATTATCAAGGACAGACAACTCGTGTTATATTGTTTAAAGTGTAATGAGGTGTGGCTTATCGATGATTGACAGCTAGCATTAATGAACAGGTAAATGACAGTGCGTTGATTACCTGGTTATTAAAGGAGAGGTTAATAATTGATGAGTTATAATTAGTCGCCTACCTGTCAGCCGTAGGTAATTTATACCTGCCCTATATTAATATAAGACGTATATATATATATATATATATATATCATAGGTTATAAATAGATGACACAAGAGAGAATATATATACATTGTTGTTGTTTTCTTTTTGTTGTGGATACTGCTTGTTACATATTTACTTACTTCATCATAGAAACGTTTTTCAGTTTATGTAAATGTGGAAAGCTGACAATTGCGCCATTAGCATACACTGGATGGAACGTGTGTATCATAATTACACGCTATTGTTATTATTATTACCTAGCTTCCTTGTTCATGGGGTTTTAACAAAACCGCAACACATATTCCTCCGCTTGAATTCTGGTTCATGGGGGAGCCACAGTGGATAAGTGAGTCAGACGCTGGCTCGCTAGCCTGGAGGTCACGGGTTCGCTCCCCGTGTTGGCCGATAAAGTTCATCGGAATTTTCCGACGTGGTTTCCCCTTGTAACTGGTGCAGGACGGAGGGTCTGACAAGGGCAGCTGTCTAGTTTTTCGGATTGGACGAAACCCGAGGTCCCGAGTACACATTGGCATGCACGTAAAAGATCTTTGGCAAGTGAAATTCGATATAAGAGTAGGAAAAATTTCCCTCATAGCACACTGTATGGCATATGCCTGTCTTCGTTAGTTTAGTCGGAGCAGAACAAAAGGACGTTAATTTCGTTATTAGTATTGACGTGAAATTTGGTGTAGTATTTCGAACTTCTTTGTACATTGTTTTACTTATTATCATTAGATCGTCGGCGTACATAATATTATACACTTTTCCGATATTGCTGAGATATTGTAATATAGCTGGCGCCGAGTTCACAAAGCATTCTCAGACTTAAGTTAAGAATTTACTCAAAATTGTTCGCCTTATTTTAACTCAAATATAGCCCTTTATAAAACGTTTGTTGTTTTAATGTATCAAATACATCAATAAGAAACTATGATACCACATCAGCATGTAATGATGATACCACTTCAACATGCAATGATGATACCACTAGAGTATGTAATGATGATATCACTTCAACATGCAATGATGATACCACTTCAACATGTAATGATGATACCACTAGAGTATGTAATGATGATATCACTACAGTATGTAATGATGATACCACTAATGTAGGAAGCAGTATTACAATTACGTAGTAGTGTTATTGCTGTATCTAAATCTGTATAATCAGTGAGTGAGGTAAATGTATATTTTATGTATAAAATATTAACATGCATCAAACTCCGACATTAAATCCCAGTATTTTTCAACATTGCTGCGAGGGAGAGGAAGAGAATTTAACATTCACTCAACACAAATTCGATCATTTCGGGACTAACATGGTTCAATGTTATTTCAATAATTCCCCTGCTCGTAGGGGTTATAGATCACTCATCTACCTAACCCCGCATCTTAAAATTAAGCGGCTGCCAAAATAGCGATCTTATCTTAGCATTAAGGACAGAAGTCATTCAGTTCGGATTTCATTCCGTTCTATTTTAAACTCGACTTTTAACTTTACCCGATCTTCTCAAAAACTGGGATCGTTTATTCAACTTAGCCGTAGTAATGATGTTTGTTTGTTTGTTTGCATGTTTGTTTGTTTGACGTAAACATTTAAACATGCACCTGCATCCGTCAGCGAGCAGACGACCAGTTTGTGTCACGAGACCTTGAAATGAGTCGATGTCTGCAACTGATCCTATGTTTCGTCATCTTAGTCACTCTAGGTAAGAAATAGATTAATAATATCGCCATTTATAAAGCGCGTTAATAGTGAAGAATAGTTTCTAAGGCCATGTTGGTTGTTATATTCACAGATTATCAACAAATCAGGGTTTTGAAACAATAATGTTTTTGAGTTGAGATCTAAAAGGGCCCACAGACGCTAAACATACATTATGCAAGAGCTAAATCTGCCTATTGCAGGTCTTTCATTGGGTCTGAAATGTTATAAACTATTAATTAGACATTTATTAAAGATACATTATGGGAGATTAGATAAAGAGCTGACAGTTCTCACTATAATAGTTTAAAACTAAATAATGTAAATTTCAGTCAAATTGATCCACACTCAACCAAAAGTTTAGCGATTGAGTTTTCGGTCTAGCCTCGAACATCATTACTAAAGTCGGTACGATAAAAAAACATATAGTCTCGATTATCCATTTCATGGTTAAATCATGAATGGAAATCAAACACCAAATCGGAACCTAAGCCAATAAACATTGCAGGCTAGCGATGACATTGAGAGTTGATTATAGTCTGGATAAGTTAATTAATGTCTAATTAATAATTTCTATAACATCTGAAGCCTAAATAAAGACCTGCAATAGGCAGATTTAGCTCTTGTATAATGTGTGTTTAACAAAACAAGACCATAACCAACTCTCGATGGCATCGGATACTTGAGATTTTAACTAGATTAGAACGGTTCGCCATTTAAAAATTTAATTTAAAAATGGGAAAGCGAGGCTCATTCTCGAATATGCCAGTAACCTGGTTACCACTATGCATACATCTTGTCAAAACTACAAACAGTGATGAAGTAATTTGAATGAAAGTTTCAATATTTTCATTTTACAGTATCTATTTTTGAGCTATTATAGCAAGAATGGTCAGCTCTTTATCTAAATCTTACATAATGTATCTTTAATGTAGTTTATTCCATAGAAAAGGACTAGAATAGGAAAAAGCAGGTTTTAAATGATTTTCGTATTAAAAATGTCAGAAAATGTTACACCAAAATCTAGGGGTTTTCTCCTGGTGACTGAGGGTTAAAGATAGTCCTTGCATAGTGTTGCATACGTTCGGGCACATTTCTAGATAAACCTAAGAGGATGAAAAAGTTGGTGTAATTTTCTTTAGTACTGTTTTAAGGTTTGTTTGAAATAAGTTAAATATCGACCATCTATTGGAGGAAAACGAAGGTTTTACGTATTTTTGGAATCGATCTGTATTTACCGTTTAATTGTTTTTCATAGTCCATGAAAGTCACTCGCTATTCTCCGCCGTGAAAAGAACCATTGACAGTTGGAACTCGAAATAAGAGTAGGACGTAGCACTGCTGCCGGGGCAAAATCCCCCCCCCCCTCCTGTAAAAGAGCCACGGACAGCTGGAATTCGGAATAAGAGTAGGCGCAAATGTCCGGGCAAAATTCACCCTATAGCACACTGCATGGCGTTTGCTAGTCTTCGTTAGCCCAAATGGTGTAGGAAGTTAAATGTCATTTCATTTTTTTTATAGTCGGACTCTCATAAAAAAAAATCAGTACGCTTATCCGAATGTTTTAGACCGTTGGTGTCGCATTAAATCCCTTGCCCTCTAGTTACATTTGAAGATACGCAAGTAATATTGACGTATTTCCTTCAGATGTTATGCAAGGTGCATGGGTACGTATATCTGATCTAGTTTGTTAATTACCAACTCTAATGCTTAAAATAGAGAGCATAGTTTGCTTCAATCTGTTTTACAGACGTAATGCGAAAGCCTTCTTATAGCTCTGTGTAAGATGACTGACCTTTATAAGTTCTAATGCCTCCTACATGTGATGTCACATCACACGGCGTCGATCATTGGCTCGATATTGCGTGTATTTTTTACATAAGACGTAGTAACCTAAACTGACCTAGAATGATGCATTTTACTTGTTTTATATACCCATTTACACTAAATATTTTTCCTCTAGATATAATTCAAACACCTTTATTTATTTTTCTAACTCTTGAAAAAAATGTTTTAGAATTTAATTTGCAGACTGAAAAAGTTAATATTGTGTGTGACCTTATCAACTCGTCCCTCTCAGAGATTGTTGCGGCCCAGCGAATATTAAAAGGGGTAAAAAAAAAACCGCAGGAAAATCATGTTGAAATCTCTCACTCAACACCGGGATCGAACCCACGACTTCCAGACTAGCAAGCCAGCGTCTTACTCGCTTAGCCACCGTGGTTCCCACATAAAGATATACCGAAACGCCGATGTTTGGGAAATATTTCCCATAGAGTTCACTGCATGACGTAATTAACGCAGCTGATGTAGAACGAAATGACGTTAAACCCCATTTCTTAAAATAGAAGAGTCAACGCCCTTCGTACTGTCTTTAAAGCCACAGCAGTAAGAAAAAAAAATACCATTGCCGTTAGAAATGTTAACATGGTGATCACGTAGAGACTGATAGACGGACTTCACACCTTGTTGACAAGCGCGGTCCATCTCAGAAACTCTACTTCATACACAGGACAAGAACATTCAACAATCCGACTAAATTGAAATGAATTATCACATCGGTTTCATATGCGGCTCTAGTCACGACTGTTTGTTTTTTTAATTTTTTTCTTTTTCTCTGACCATAGAAAACTAAACAAACCAGACGCGTGACAACATGTTTTGAATGCTTAAAATAAAAAGAAAAAGGGGAACAGAAATAATTAACCTAGATTCCAAATTTACTACCGTAGTTAAATCATCTCATCTCTCTTGACCCGATTCTTATTGCCCAGACCTCGCTTAGTTCGACGTCTTTTGTCACAACGCTACTTAGTCCGACGGTTATTTTTTAACGTAACGTAGACCGACGTATTTTTAATGACCCGACGCTACTAAATGCCTCGGTTATTGTCCCGAAGCTACTAAGCCCGACGTTTCTGACCCAGTGCTACATAGTTAGACGTCTATTTACCCAACATTTACTGTCACGAAACTACCTAATCCGACGCTAATAAACCCGACGCTACTTAGTCCGACGCTAATTACCCTAACGCTACTTAGTCCGACGCTAATTAGCCTGACGCTTCTTGGTCCGACGCTAATTACCCTAACTCTACTTAGTCCGACCCTAATTACCCTGACGCTACTTAGTCCGACGCTAATTAGCCCGCCGCTGCTTAGTCCGACGCTACTTTGTAAGACTTTACATAGTCCGACGTTTATTGTGCCGACTCTACTTAGCCCAACGTTTATTGTGCCGACGTTTACTGACCCGACGTTACTTATTCCGATGTCTGTTGGTCCGATGTGATCATAGACAATATAGAAACTTTTATATGTCATTTACATGTATTTACAGTTGTGACACGGGATGTATCACCATGGAAACCATGTCAGCATGGTGCCGGCTGCTTCTGTCCGCCAGGAAAGTTTGGTAAATGTGCCCATGAGGAATGTCACTGCCATGAAGGTAAGCTACCGTCAGTGTCAGGAAAAAAGTCTAAGGTGGTACTTTATTGTTTGGCCTGTGACACTGTCATGGCATCTTGTAAAATCCTCTGCCGATCAGGTTTGTTGAAATAGTTCAGCTGGTAATGAAGCAGTATCCCATCGATAAGTCAGACATCATTTCATCAAATAGATATTTTCCCATATTCCTGACGCAATGGCCCGAGAAATCTCTCTCTAGCGTCTAATCAAAACAAACACTGCGAGGAATATGACATTTTCACTGAAACCTTAAAAGGCTTTTAGAGATAAGAAGAGGTTTTATTTTTTTCACATGGGAGTTAATTCCCCTGTGACATAAAACGGACACAGCTCACCAAATATGTAGGGCGAAAGTTATTTTTAGTCTTTCTCTCCCTTTCCCTTTCCCCCTTTTGCATGGCAATTTTTGTTGACTTTTTGGTGTAGAATGGAACGAAAGGGTTTCAAAATACATTTTCTGCCAGGTTTTGGTGAATATTAATGATTTTTTTTTAAGGCGGAAGGATATAGAGTTGAGAGGTTGATTAGGTTGAAATGTAGGGTGGAAAATTGCATGTTTTTTTAGTCTTTACTTGCAGTTTGTGCAGGTTTGCATGGTGAAAACTTCATACGTGCTTTTGAGTAAGAGGTTGCCACATGTTGCTCCATCTATGGAAGAAAGCGCTCTGCCCAACGAATTTGGGGAAAAGTTAGAGCTTGTCTAAGAGACGAGAATTAACATTAAATTCAATAGGGAAATCATTAGTGATCTGTGGCCAAGCCTTTCAGAGGGAGACGAAGAGATTTTCTTTTTTTACATGTAGGGTGACCCATGCACCTACAGAAATACAGTCAACCGCTGATAGTTCGAGACTACCACTGAAGCGTGCACATTCGCCGTGTCGACGTCAACTTTCTGGCAGTATGATACTATAAATAGCCATGGCACGTGTAATTCTTTACAAATCTATCAACTATTACAGCCGTAAAAAACTTATTGTTGACGATTTTGAATAGCAGTAAAATTAAGCTTCTTGGTTATTACAGCAGATTTAGAAATTACGTTCGTTTCATTATTTAAATCGCTTTATCATTAACTGTACCGTTAAGAGCGGCATCTTTTGGTTTAGTACAAATGATATCTCTGAAACACTCGGGTTAGACAGGAACATGATACTAGCAGTAGTTTCATTTTACTTTTACAAGCTTCTTAAAACAATTGCTAAATTCAATTTCTTGTTCTAGCTTTCTGTTATGTTTCGTAAAAAAGTAGTCTTGATTATCCCGGCCTGTCAATCAGCCCTAGAATGGTCGATAGACTGGTTAAGCGAGACTAATTTCAAAACAACGGCACGTAACCTATCTTTTACTCAAAAGTGTCTGGATGTTATGGACGACACATGGAACCAGTTTTCAGTCTATTATTGATAGATGATTAATGGTCATAGCTTATTAAGTACAACATGATCGTTTATTTAGTGACTATAATTGTGTGAAACTGATTTGAGGCTTGGCATATATATAAATATTGTGGCGAAATTGTCGAGATATATGGAGATATTTATTTATGGTGGGTCACCCTAACATGAGAGTTAATTCCCCTGTGACATAATACAGAATACTTATTATTCTGTAAAAGTTTGGCCGATGTCTAGGCTATTTGATTTCGATTTTTTAAAAATATATTGTGTTTTGTATATTTTTCAGATAGTGGCCATATGTATTGTGAGTTTAATATAGATTGTGTGAAGTTATGTGATCGACTAGATGCTATTTGTTTTAATGATCATCATTGTCACTGTAACTCTGAACACGTTAAAAAATACGTAGAATAATCTCAGCCAATAAGATCACGGGCACCTGCAGGGCTATTAATAGACTGTATTTTCTACACACAGTTTTCAACTGTAACAGGGGTTATCATTATACTCATATGAAGTTTTAACCAAATCTATAAAAAAGAGCTGCTCATTATTTTTGAAGTTGGTATAGATGGACAAAAATATTCTAAAAATAATAAATATGATGTATTTGTAAAAGAAACTGAGAATTTATATTTTTGGGCCACGGTGGTTAAATGCTGGTTCACTAACCAGGAGTTCTTGGTTTCTATCCCGGTTTAGTCATTGATGCAGGACGGGTGGGACGACAATCCGAGATCCCGCAGACTAAAGAACCCTTGGCAGTTAGAATTCGAAATAAGAGGAGGCCGTATACTGCCGCTGTCCGGGCAAAATTTCCCCCACAGCACACTATGTGACATATGCCTGTCTTCATTAGCCCAGTCGATGCGCAGCAGTAGGACGTTAAACCCCATTTCCTTTCATTCCGCTATCAACGGTTCATTTACGGGCAGGTCATTGTTACACTGGTAGACCTTAGTTTTTTGTCCCACCTGATCGACTCGGCAACACCTAGCTTGTTAGCGTCTAAGGCGCTATACTGTTGAGTTTCGAATTGCTGGTTTGCCGTATATTTACAAAACATATATTTGTTAAATAGTTAATTTATTATATTCATTGACTCGGCACTCACAAATGAAAACGTAATCTTTACAGTTCAAAAGGCCCAAGCTTTAATCCGACCCAGAATTGGGGACTAGTCGTCAAATTCTCACGATAGTCTACGTGTATTACCAAGTTATAGACCTATAACAACCCCATCTCCCCTGAAAAAATGATTTGCCCACCACCACCGAAAATAGTTTTAAAATACCCACTGTTTGTAATAGACAGCAGTCGTGGATCATCATGTGGTATATTAATTTGGGGATATGGCACCTTGCATCCAAGCTCATATTATTGGTTATGTGTCTGCAATCTATCTGCCATGTATCTTGTACTGACTTGCCCATTGGTCCACTGTCTTGTCACTATGTTCATTGTCCAGAGTTCGCTAGCTAGAGAACGATTTTCTGGTCTGGAAAACGCGTTTGCGGCCGCTCAATTAGTCTTTAATTAGACTTTTTGTGAATAACAGATTAGGACCGCATTAATACGAATATTGTTGGATATGGTGGTCATTTAAGGCAGAGATCTAGTCTCGAAGGAGAGTAGATAGTTCTATGTTTGCCGAATGGGTGTAAGCCCATCTTCATTGACCCGGTGGTTTCACAAAAGTACGTTGAACCCGATTTCATTCCATTTACCATCTCAGATAAGCGATTACATTTCAAGGGAGATAAATCCATTTAAGGAACTATTGATCTGCGATATCACCTCGGTGGAAGCGGACGTAAAATACAACTAATTCATCATCATTTAAAATGGCGGACGAGAAGACTTCTGTGGTGATTCTCGACGGAGGATCGGCAACGCAGCTAGTAGAGTTGGGTCATAAAACATTACATGTAAGTAATTTCACAAATATTTTAAATATGAAACACGTGGTTATCTCATTCTGTGATGACACACACTGACAGACTGTTGTGTTAGACCATTGCACGCGTGGCTAAAAACAAAGTATGGAATCACATAGGGGCTACAATGTGATTGTTGGAGACGGCAAGGTTGATTTAAACGTTATTTTTTTTGAAAGGCATAAAAAATAGGACACAAAAACAAGCCAAGGAGGCTTATATTATAAGTTATATTAATTTGCTTTCTTCTTTGTGAGGTGTATATGTACATTTTTTAGTAATACACACATGTATATGATATGGACAAGGATTAATTACAGGTAGCGGGTTCGATCCTGGTGTTGGCCGAGAATGTTCATCCTGATTTTCCGGTGTGGTCCCCCCTTATCTGTGGTGCAGGACGAAGAATCTGACAAGGACATCTGTCTAGTCGTTCGGATGGTATGAAAAACCGAGGTCCCGTGTACACATTGGCGGGCTCGTAAAAGATCCCTTGGTAGTTGGAGTTATATATAAGAGTAGGCCGTAACGCCGCTGTCCGGGCACAATTTCTCCCATAGCAAATTTATGGTGTAAGCCCGTCTTCAATGATCCAGTCGGAGCAGAACGGTAGGACGTTAACTCCATGGCATTTCATTACAGTATTTTATATATAGTTATGGTACAAATAAGTCAGTATTTATTTATTGGGGTTTAATTTGTATACTTAGTTATACCCCACTTTTATCAGTGGCTACTCTGTGAAATTATACAGATCGATATTTTATTTATTTTCAGGAGGATCCACTGTGGTCAGCTAAATTGATAAAGACCTGTCCGTCTGACATTAAACTCGTTCACAAACAGTAAGCTAAGTATAAAAAAAAACACAACACAATTGTCGAAATGTCGTGCTATATGTGTATAAACCAGTGATTGTATTCCATATAAACTGTGTTGTGTTTTTTAATGTGCCCAATCACTAAATGCCACTCAAGGATTATAAGCTAAGTATATAGTGATACTTATTATAATAGGGGGGTTGGGTCGTCTAGTGGTTTAAAAAGTGTGCGTGCAGTGAAATCACAAGGTCTGTCATCGAGTCAAGTAGCATGGTTTCGATTCCCCGCTTGCACGTGACAAGGAGTATTGTCACCTGTCCAACTACGTAGGTTTTCTCCGGTTCCACCCCTTCTCTCTTCCCCTGCGTAAGCTGGTTTTTGAAGAAAGACCTTGCGTGTGTAAGCTGGTTATTTAAATAACGATATACTATAGGTTTGTCGCGAAATAAGGATCAAGCCTGGGAGCTCCAGGTTAGTGCGCTAGCTCCTTACCCATGCAATGATCCACCGTGGCTCCATTTTGTTTACAAACAACACACCTTTTCAATACTATTCATATGATTGGTTTTGGTTGTAGATTTGATGTGATTGGTTTGTGGTGTTGATTTGATGTGATTGGTTTGTGGTGTTGATTTGATGTAATGGTTTGTGCTGTAGATTTGATGTGATTGGTTTGTGGTGTAGATTTGATGTGATTGGTTTGTGGTGTAGATTTGATGTGATTGGTTTGTGGTGTGATTTTTGTGGTGTAGATTTGATGTGATCGGCTTGCGGTGTGATTGGTCTGTATTGTAGATTTGATGTAATTGGTTTGTGGTGTGATTTGTTTGTATTGTAGATTCTATGAAGCTGGTGCTGATATCTGTATAACGTGTACCTATCAGGCTTCTGTTGGTGGCTATAAACAACACTGTAATATTGATAAAGATCATGCTATACAATTGATGAAAGATAGCGCTCATTTAGCCCAGGAAGCGGCAAAGGAAACAGAAGCTGTAACGGGTTGGTAAATGTGTAATGTATTATTTCCCATATATAACTTTAGATTCTTCATTCTACAATACGTGTTTAGAGTAATATCATCCACAATCTCAGACATTTGTCAATTTAAATCAACATTGATGTTGTGATCTTACCGGGAAAAGACGAGCTTCTGATATCCAATATTTAAGACAAAATAAACATTTTACCATTGGTGCACAAACAAATCGTGTACTAGAAGGCGTTTCAGCGCCATTTGTAACAAGGGACTCGAAGAACGAGGCCAGACATATTCCACAAGTCATGTCAAACGGTGACATCATATTCTTAACTGGAGAGCATGCGCAATAAAACTGGTATAACCAGACACTAGAGATAGCCATTCGATTGAGACTTCTCGCGTATTTCGCCGAACATAATTGGTTTGAAATTAGAGTAAAAACGGAAACTATTGAATGTAAATCAGTTTATATACATTGCCATTTGATTGAGACTTCTCGCGTATTTAGCCGAACATAACTGATTTGAAATTAGATTGAATGTATTTGGTGGCATATCTGATTATAATCTCTGTCAAATAATATATCTCATAAGTCGATTAATTTAGGCCAAAACCCCGACCTGCAAGTAATTTACAACCATCAACCTGTGAAATTATCATATCGTCATATTATTAATTAACGTATTATCATTGTATCGTCAAGAGTCAAGATAATTTAACTGGTTAAAAAATGGGACTAGTTGAGAAAGTTTTGACCATTCCGAATTCGGCCCACACCCAGTACACCCGGCCCAGAAAGTCTATTATACCAGCCCATTCCAGACTCCAGTGATGGCGTGGCGTCCCGTTAAAGCCACCGGCCACATACAACATGATCATCATCGCTCCATGGCCGGTCCAAGCCCCCCCCCCAATATAATGTTCAACAGAAATAGGTGTTTTAGACGAATTGGACAAAATTATTTTTTCCATTTTTTGTCCGCCGGCCCTGCGAACTACGTATTTTCAAGGGCCCCTTGCATAATGGTTTCATGCCACACATTTCTTTTCAGATAACTGTATAATATTATACAGTTTAAATGACATTTAGTAACTGGATGAGAATAACACATGACACAATTATATGAAATACAAGTTACTTAAAGAGTTTATTTCTGTCGATGTTTCGACGAGGGTTCTCCCGTCTTTATCAAACACAGAATAACAACCATGGTACAATAACTTGTATTCCATATAATTGTGTCATGTGTTATTCTACAGTTTGTCATCGAGTCAATATGCGTGGTTTCGATCACAGACATGTAACCTCTGTACATAATTTGTATTGATTTATCGGAGAAGAGAGAGATTATTGATTTATTTGATTGATTTTACAGGTAGGAAATGTTATGTAGCAGGTTCAGTTGGACCATATGGTGCCTGTTTACATGATGGATCCGAATATTCAGGGAATTATGTTGAATCGCTATCAATACAGGTATTATTAGATTGAATTATTGATAATATTCACCTATTTTAAAGTAGGTGGTGGTGGGGGGGGCGTGGCTTCCATGTAGGTCTGGGTAACATACAGTATATATTTTGATACTATTGACCTATTTTAAACGGGGTGGTGAGGTGGAGGGTTGGGAGAAGGGAGTGGGGGAAGTGGGGCGTGGCTTTCATGTAGGTTTGGGTAACATACCCAACACTCTGCAAAAAGAAATATGTATGTTCAAATAAAACTATACATGTTCAAATAGAAATATGTATGTTTAAAATTTATATAGACCTATGTTTAATCTGATATGAGTTTCCATAGAAATATGTATGTTCAAATTTATATATGAAGAGTCCAGAGGAAGAACGATCTAAGTCACATTTTTGTCGTTTCGCATAAAAGGCAAAACAGACTTTTGGACAAGAATGCTTGGCGCGAACAGAACAACGAGTGGGTTTAATTACAACTTCAAAATGATGTTTAATACGAATCATAATTATCAGTACAACAACTGACTTCCACTTTTTAGCCAAATTAAGGTCAAATAAAGGGTACGATGGACTTGTATTTGTCCGGGAGGCCATTTCATGACGGCCTTGGTTCGATGTGACTCCGATCGTTTTTACCTGAAATTGATTGTTCCACAGAAAGCTTATACAATTTGCTACCAGATGGCGCCATTAACTGGGGTTCGTTGAAAAATTGACTTAGATCGTTCTTCCCCGGGGCTCTTCATAGGTTTCCATAGAGATATGTATGTTCAAACTGATATAAGTTTCCATACAAATATGTATAATGTTCAAATTCATATAAGTTTCCATACAAATATGTATGTTCAAATTTATATATATTATGTTTCCAAAGAAATATGAAGTTTCATATGAACTTATTTTGTATTTTACAGGAGTTATCTACCTGGCACTTACCACGAATAACAGCTCTAGCTGAGGCTGGTGTCGACTTTCTTTCTATTGAAACAATACCAGCTTTAAAAGAAGCTGAAGCAGTCTTGGAAACATTAAAACATTTTCCAAATTTAAAAGTTTTTGTTAATTTTTCTTGTAAGGTAAGTTTTTTTTTTAAAGGTAGTTTATTTATGTTGTTGATTCAGGTGAATTTAGTTACCTTGATCTTGGGAATAGCCTGGTCTTTTTCACAATTGCATGGGAGACATATACACTTACCTCATCCTTCGATCCATGAAAGTTTCCACGGATTTTCGGGTGTGGGAGAGAGGGGTGGGGGTGGCGGAGGGGTTTGACGTGTGCCCGTTAGATAATAGAAATGAAATGAAATGGGGTTTAACATCCTACTTTTCTGCTCCGATTGGGCTAATGAAGACGGGCATACGTCATACAGTGTGCTATGAGGAACATTTTGCCCGGGCAGCGGTACTATGGCAAGGGATCTTTTACGTTCATGCCAATGTATACACGGGACCTCGATTTTGTGTCCCATCCGAACGACTAGACGCCTGTCCTTATCAGGCCCTCCATCTTGCACCACTGACAAGGGGAAACCACGTCTAAAAATCCCGATGAACTTTCTCGGCTAATGTAGGGATCGAACACGTGACCTCCATGCTAGCGAGCTAGCGTCTTACTCATTTAGCCACCGTGGCTCCCCGTAGATAATAAAATGGAGTAGTTCCGATTCCAGCCTAGGCTTGTTAAGGAGTAAGATCGCCTGTTCAACCTGGTCTCGGGTTGTCTCCCGGTTTTAGCTAAGAAAGTCCTTTGTGAATTCATTCTAGTGGGGCAGGATGGGGGGGGGGGGGGGTCTGGCAAGGAACAGCGCGTCAGTGGCTAGTCGTTCGGATGGGTCGTTAAAAACTGGGTCCCGTGTACGCGTATGTTTTTGTTAATTTGCAGGATGGTTTCCATACATGTCACGGCGAACGATTAACTGATTGCATACGCTTGGTTAACCAGTCTCATCAAGTAATAGCTTCCGGTATGAATTGTTCTCATCCGCAGTTTACATCATCTTTGTTAACCAGTCTTCAAGTTGATGACATCACTAAACCCATCATCGTCAAACCGAACTCGGGAGAAGACTGGACACAGGGAATAGGGTACGCTATATGTATTGTCTTTCACATTGAGTCCAGCGCCTGTTTAACATGATGTCTTTACGAGAATTTGCCCAGACAGCGATCTGATCCAAATACAGATCTATATTTGGTTTCGTTTTTTTTTATACTTTCAATGGCCTACATTACATGACAATCTGACAAGTTGTACCCTATGACGTCAGACATGGATTAATCAATCAGCGTTGACGTTTCTTGTGTTTTACCCACAGTTCCGTGAATGTCCCGCCAAGAAGTCTCCATAACGTACCGTTTTATTGGCTAATCCCTCACTTCAACCGAAACGCCCATAATATAACAACTCTTTTAGATCCTAGTGTAGTAAAGACAAGAAAAACGAAATTTTGAACTGCATTATCTCCATCCTTTTCAAGCGTTGTTGTACGTACATGTCAATATATGTATGTAGGCCTACATGGGTAAACCTTGCCTCGAGTTCACAAGGCATAATGAGACTTAAGAATTTACTCAACTTTGTTTATGAGAAATATCTTTGATCCAGAAACGCAAAACTGTGCACATAGTTTCTTATTGATGTATTTGATACATTAAAACAACAAAAGTTTTATAAAGGGCTATATGTTAGTTAAAATAAGGTGAACAATTTTGAGTAAATTCTTAACTTACATGTAAGCCTGAAAAAGTTTTGTAAAACCGGGGCTAGGTTTTCGTCACATCCGAATACCTAAACAACTCTGACATGTGAAGAAGATCTGAATCGAAGGGTCTTCGGGATCGACGCCATGTCTAGTCGACTACTACGTTTTGGGGCTACGGTGGCTCAGTGAAAGCTGCACTGGTGTTTTTCCGACATGGCCCCACCTTGTGGATGGTACCGGACGGAGGGCCTAGTCGTTGGAATGATTCGAAAAACTTTGCATGTAAAAAATAAGATTTAAATAGGTCTAAATCTCGACAACAATCATGTGCCCTAACCCTAATTACATCTCGCGATCTTGACGAAATCTGCAGTTGGCCTTAATATTTAGACTTAACCAAAAATCCCTTCATAACACACTCTATGGCGTTTTCCCGGTTTTCTTTGCCCCGGTTGTTGCAGCAAATAAAGACGTTACGGTTAAATCCCGTTTCTTGTTATTAAAAACATTTCGCTGAAAGATGGGGTCAAGTTTAGTGCATGTCTTTATTCGTTGATAAGCGGGTGGTTGGGATGGCCGAATGGTTAGCACGTGCGTGCTGTATCATACGACCTGTCATTGAGTCAACAGGCGTGGTTTCGAATCCCCGGTTGTACGTGACAAGGAGTAGGGTCGCCTGTCCAACCTCCTGGGTTTTCTCCGGGTCCTCCGGTTTCCTCCCACTGCTAAAGACCCCTACGCGCAAGCGAATTATTGAAATAAAATTAAACCATATGTTAGTCTCGAAATGACCTAGTTTGTGTCGAGTGGACGTTAAACCCCATCTCTCTCTCTCTCTCTCTCTCGCTCTCGTTGATGAGCCTGATTGAGATATAATCGATTGAACTTTTTATTTTTAATTCGACGTAACTACTTACCCACCAGATGTGGTAGTCTCGGTCACCCAGAATCTCCTAGTCTTCAACGTACGGAGGGTCTGGGAACGTTGTCAATATTTGAAGAAAAGTTCAATTGCCCATGCGGAACCGAGAGTTTGGTTTTTTATGTGGTTGATTATCCAGTATCTTTGACCAAGTCAAGTAAGATTTGCGCCCCTTCCCGCAACAAATCCCATAATTCTTGCATTTTTATAAACAAACATGAATCGTGACGAAGAATTAGGATAAATTATAAGAACATAGAGATGTGGCCCATGAAAAGAGAATTTTTACGATAAAACAAATTAAGCGTGTTGGATATTGAAATTGAACTGGCAATGCAATCAAATGGATTTTCTGAAATGACATGCTTAAATTAATTTCATTGGCGTCGACACCTTGTTTTAAGACTAGTTACCTCCCTTAGACTTTGTTTATGTTAATGTAAAAGACCGGATAATCTAGCCAATGACCTATTATTCTCAAATGTCGTTTCTGGATGATAGGGACTAGATGTGGTCGCTGGGTTTTTTTTTGTGTGACGTACATAAAATGAATTATCAAAGCTTGTATTTACAGATGGGCAGGAAGGGATAAAGAAGAGTATTTACTATCCGAGAACGTGGATGAATGGATCAAGTTAGGTGCTAGATGGATCGGTGGCTGTTGTCGTTTGTTTCCACCAGATATTGCACATCTACGTCGAACATTGGAAAACAATAAAACCATATCATTAGACGGACCTGTCGTATAAATAAATCTCTTTTACTAATAAATGGTTAGAGTTATGTCTTCTCTCCTAGTCCCTGTGGAGTGTCCATGCAGGAATTTGAGCAGCGAGTGTTGGTGTGTGTGTGGTGTGTGTGTGTGGGGGGGGGGGTCCAAGGGGGAGACAGCGTCCAGTTTGGCGTTAGGTCGGGGTAACTACCCGCAAATCTGATTCATTAGCTTAGAGACAATATTTCTGCTCATAAGAAGGTGCATACATGAATAGGATTACAGTGGAATGGCGTTATTTCTATGAATGTAGGGCTAATGAAGACTGGCATCCGCCATACAGTGTGCTATAAGGGAAGTTTGGGCCGAACAGCACTACGGCCTACTCTTACATGTGTTTCAAATTCCAACTCTCAGGGGTTATTTTACGTGCACGGGTTTTCATTCCATCCGAGCGACCATACGCTGTTCCTTGCCAGGCCCTCTGTCCTGTTCTGCACCACTAACAGGGGGGGGGGGGGGGCACGCCGGAAAATCCTGATGAACTTTCTCGGTTAGTACAGGGATCGAACACCCGACCTCCAGGTTTAGCGAGCCAACGTCTTACTAAAACCCCGTTTACATTACAAATTTTAAGCGTGCCAGTAACGGTACCAGGCACGGCGCCGTTAATATATTTGTAGTGTAAACGGCCCACTGAAATAAGGTAGTCTCGGCACGGTACCAGGCACGAAACGAACCTTGACACCCCCCCCCCCCCGCGCAAACTTTGACAGTTTTGTCATCAGTTCTGTTTAAATGGCTGCTCAAACCAAATCAACCATCATAATTGTTTTCATCCGGGTAATTTGCATAGGGACTGAAATTAACTTTACGGTTCCGAGACCGCTTATTTTAGAGTAATGTAAACGGGAGATGCTAATTGTAGGCCGGTTGGGGAGGTTCATCATCCTAGGTCAGTGCTTATGTGGAGACTTAACCTCTCCCCCAAATTCTTAAACCTAACCCTATTTAGAAGACTGAACTTGGATCTAATTTAACGTTTACCCCTCTTAAAAGGGTTAGGGTTCGGGTTAGTATTCCCCAAAATACTCATTCATAAAAAGCATCCATTTTGGGCTCCGGAAATTCCCGAACCTCCCCAACCGGCCTACAATTAGCATCTCCCAATGTAAACGGGTCAATTTCTTGAAATTTATCGCGGCCTGGTACCGTGCCCAGAACGTTCTTAGCCGGCCACATCCTCAGCCCCTCCCAAAAATTCCGTAGCCCCACCAAATTTTAAGAGATGGCTACGGGCCCGATACGCTGTATCATTTAATGTCGGGTTTAAGAAAACAAAGTAAGAAACAATATTGACTGTTGACTCGTTATATTCTAAAACATTTCTTTACATGCTCAGAAAACATAAATATAGGGTAAACTACATATATCCTTTACATAAATTAATATTCATAAAGTAATTTACATATTCATGAAGTAATTTACATATTCAAGACCCCCTACATTATAATAGTTATTATAATAATATAAATGATGCTTTATATACAAATGGCGAGATACAATATACAATGAGTTGACATTTAATCAAAAATATAATATTTAATGTGTTTACATATTATATGATGATGACGATGATGATTTCAACACACAACAACAATAACAGCCATTGATTGTGGTGTTTTAAAGTAGATGCCCCCCACACTTAAGGCTTCTATATAATGCTGCTGATCTTCACAATCCTCGGTAAACTAGTGATATCGTTCCGAACCGCTCCACTGTACCCTTGGTTCATTCACGGGGTTTTCACGAATTCAAATCATCTGCCCTTGTCCGCTGGTTGATTCTACGAACCAATCAAAAAACATTTTACATATCATTTTTAGCGTCATTGTATACTTTCACCACAATAATCTTAGTCGCAATAAAATGCGAGTTACTTCCCTTCGTCCACTCGGTTGGTGGATAAAAATAGCAGAAGTATCAAGGGCGGATAATTTGAACATGTGTCTCTCCCGTGAATGAACACTGGGTATATAGTGGAGTGGAGTAGAGGACCGATATCACTATGGATACCGACGATGGGTCATCAAATGCATTTTTCGGACAATATCTAATTTTTCACGACTGAATCTACACAAAATGGACCCCAAGAGATGATTTAAAGTAACTATGCGTGATTTGCATTTCTTGGGATGAAATATCAAATTGATAATACAACAGTTAATTAATTAGAGAAAAACAAAATCAGGATATAAACGGGAGATAATCCACTGTTTTTTTTCTTGTATCTTAGTAAACACTGAACGAAATTGAACAATGACTAATATTCCTTTTACAGGTTCAACGATCACACTACAGCAGAGAGAGAAAGAGAAATGGGGTTTAACGTCCACTCGACACAAACTAGGTCATTTCGGGTCTAACATATGGTTTAATTTTATTTCAATAATTCGCTTGCGCGTTGGCGTCTTTAGCAGTGGGAGGAAACCGGAGAACCCAGAGAAAACCCACGAGGTTGAACACACTACATCAGTTTACAATGGATTCAAAATACCTCAAATAACAACTTGCTTGATAAAGATGAGAGTATCCTCGTCGAAACGTCGCTTAGTATTAAACTCAGTAATTGTGTATCCATAAAATTGTACCCTGTGTATGTTCAATTACTAAATGCCAATCAAAGAAGAAAATAACTAGCGGGTTTAATGCCTACTATAAACTCTCGTGGTGTGTTCGAATTTTGTACTTCCTAGGATCGAATCCCGATACAGACCCGATTTTCTACTTGCAAGATATTTTAACAATTTGAATTTTCAAATAGAAAATATGACAAGTCATGGCGTTAGATTGCTGTTTTCAAAAGTTCATACACAAAGAAAACATTTGGAGACAAAAAAATGCTTCACATCTGTCTAAAGTTGTCAGCTTCAAAATTGATGTTGTTATATTCAAAGTTTATAATGTAATCGATCATAAAGTAATCGGCATATCGTAATGTTTCGCAAGATAAACAAACAAATTTCAAATATTGTAATCAAAATCTAGTAGGCCTATACATGATACATATATTTATATTATAATGGCGTAAAATATAACCTCAATACAATAAAAACGAGAAGATTTTTGCGTAGTATCTTTTGTTGATCGTTTAACGTTAGCACTATTATTATAAATTATTCACACAAAAATAAACCGAGTTGTGATAAAAGAAGACATGGTGGGAGTCAACGATCCCTCACTGAAACATAGACTTGTCGTTACCCATAATACACTCGCCAACAGCAGAATAGTTCAAGATTTAAAAGCGCAACCACCTAAATAAATATTCTGTAATGGGATAAGAATTCTCATCATGCCCAAATGAATTTTGTCTCGTGCATCACGTTCACAAAATTCCAATAAATAGAACGTAAACGAGCTGGAGGCGGGCGCGTGTTCAGAGGAATTTGTGGACGAACGACTGACTTACAGACAATGGTAACAATATACGTTTACATTAAATGGGGGTGCATAGAAATGGTCATTTGCCCTTCACAGTGTGGGACATTTTCACCCCATACCACCTAACCCCTTTATTCATGAACAGGTGCATTTCTTGGTCTGAAACCCGATTTTTACTTAATATGCCAGCGTACTACCGACCTGGAAACGAATGTGACGTCATCGCAGCCATCTTGGAATTGCGAGGTCTGACGAAGTCTTGTCAGTTGATGAGCAACTGTCCTATGAACAAGCATGACAAGTTTCATATAGATCGTGTATGAATTGGCCGAGCCTTGGGTTTTGTTTTTTTTCTTTCCAGTGCGTCGCCAACAACCAGAAGTACAGCAAGAACAGGATGGGTAGGGCTTGCGGCCCAGCTCCTTGATCAATGATGAATATGCTAGCAGTTATGACGGAGATATACTAAAAGGCTGATACGTGAAATATATTATAATTACTATTGTAATGATGATGCGGATAAAGGTCATTGCCATGACAACACAGCAGTAAATAGGGAGTGCTGTCATGTCACTCGGACAGGTAGATACAGATATGCTTAGAATATTAAAATGTACAATTATATTTAGTTTTTACAACAAATATTTCAACTTTACACTAGTTTTAAAATATATATTAATATCCACCCATCTATATGTACAACAAAGTTATTTCCTCTTTGATACAGACCCAAAATATGGCCTCATCCTTTTCGCTATAGATTTGCCTGAATTTCGCAATGGGTCTTTGCTGGATCCCTGCTACTCGTGAGAACCGTTTGAATTAATGTCACCCCAATTAAAATAAATTATTTGGTTTGTTTGCAGGTACCATGTAACATCTAGGAATCATTAGCCACCAAGAACAGTAACCCTGTTAAATAAAGAACAGGTAACTCTGTTAAATCAAGAACAATAACTCTGTTATACCTAAAGAGGAAGCTGTATATTATTTAGTACTACATACATAGTTTGAGCATGGTTTATACAGGCCTGTTATATACATCTTCCTTATACACTATCTAATAAAAAATACTAACAATATATCAGTAGGCCTACCCAAAATAAAACCGTACAGGACAAAATGTAGGTTATTCCCAGAAGTTCACCAAACCGCAGCCTATCTAGAAAATAGGCTACAGTACTCAATCCAGTTTTACACAATTGATAAACTAGTAAATTATTTAAAACTGTAGGGAAATTTATTAAATTTAAACTGTTTGGCCTTATATTAACTTTATTTTATTATGTCCAGCTCTTACAGAACCTTTACAAAAACTGATTTTCAGGGGCACACATCTTTTTAGGGGGTGGGGGGGGGGGGGGGTATCATATTCCGGAGGGGGGGGGGGGCAGTGCAACTTTAACACCCTCTGGCAACGGGCCTGCTTTGACTTCTATTGCAGCAATTTATTATCAATGTATACAGTTTTTAAATTAAAACCTAATAAATTATGACTAATTGATGTAATATTACAAATCTCTACATTTCTCAAATACAAAGTTTGAAAACTCTTAAATATTTATTACATGTATTCGTATTCAATTAATTAAAGGTAGATATTCCAGAACTATAATTAAAGGTAAATGTTCCAGAATAATAATTAAATGTAGATATTCCAGAACTATAATTAAAGGTAGATATTAATTAAAGGTAGATATTCCAGAACTATAAAGATAGATATTCCAGAATAATAACTGATTAAACAATGCATATTTATGTGCATACCACATCCTAATTATGGGAACTTCTCTGTCATGCCTTCCATTCATCTTGGAGATAGAGAGCAAGATCACCGTGGACCAGTTTGTACTCTATAGAGTAAGATCATTGTGGACCAGTTTGTACTCTACAGAGTAAGATCATTGTGGACCAGTTTGTACTCTACAGAGTAAGATCATTGTGGACCAGTTTGTACTCTACAGAGTAAGATCACCGTGGATCAGTTTGTACTCTAGAGTAAGATCACTTCAGACCAGTTTGTACTCTATAGAGTAAGATCACTTCAGACCAGTTTGTACTCTATAGAGTAAGATCACCGTGGATCAGTTTGTACTCTAGAGTAAGATCACTTCAGACCAGTTTGTACTCTATAGAGTAAGATCATTGCGGACCAGTTTGTACTCTAGAGTAAGATCACTTCAGACCAGTTTGTACTCTATAGAGTAAGATCACTTCAGACCAGTTTGTACTCTATAGAGTAAGATCACCGTGGATCAGTTTGTACTCTAGAGTAAGATCACTTCAGACCAGTTTGTACTCTATAGAGTAAGATCATTGCGGACCAGTTTGTACTCTAGAGTAAGATCACTTCAGACCAGTTTGTACTCTAGAGTAAGATCACTTCAGACCAGTTTGTACTCTATAGAGTAAGATCATTGTGGAGTAGTTTGTACTCTATAGAGTAAGATCACTGCAGACCAGTTTGTACTCTATAGAGTAAGATCACAATGGACCAGTTTGAACTCTAACTTACTCTAAGCGATCTAGAGTAAGATCCTATCCACTGCAGAACAGTTTGTACACATACATCATTAAGGAATTCACATGACATAATGGCCTGAATAAGGGCGAGACTGACTGGGCTGCAGCCAGGGGTCTCAGTATTAAAGGAATCCAAATTTGTACCATAAATAAATTTGTCCTATCATACGATAGAGTTTAAAAAGTGGAACATAAACTTTCTGCAGCTATGTTAAGGCAACAAGAGGGTAGGCGGTGGAATATGCCGTCTTCTAACTAAGCTAGGGCCCCAGTGACATTTTCAGCAGGGGTTCCATGCAAGCCTACTCCGGCTCTGACACATGAAATTAATTATGAGTCTTATATATCTGCTGTGCGTGGAGTCGTATCATCTTCTGAACAAGTCCACCCTATCTTATCACTGCCATTCCATGTACCATGTAGTTGTTTTGAAATTTGATGTTTTTCTTTACATGTACATTCTAATTCATTGTTTAGCATCCTACTTTACTACAGAGAGAGAGAGAGAGAGAGAGAGGGGGAGAGTTTAAATGGGGTTTAACTCCACTAGAACAAACTAGGTCATTTCGGGACTAACATATAGTTCAATTTAATTTCAATAATTTGTTTATGCGTAGGGGTTTTAAGCACTAGGAGGGAACCAGGGGACCTGGAGAAAACCGAGGAAGTTGGAGAGGTGACCCTACTCCTTTTCGCGTATAAGCGGGGAATCAAAACCACACCACTTGATTCAATGACAGAAATGAAATGAAATGGGGTTTAACGTCCTACTGTTTTGCTCCGAACTGGGCTAATGAAGACGGGCATACGCCATACAGTGTGCTATGAGGGAAATTTTGCCCGGACAGCGGCACTACGGCCTACTCTTATATCGAATTCCAACTGTCAAGGGATCTTTTACGTGCACGCCAATGTGTACACGGGACCTCGGTTTTTCGTCTCATCCGAATGACTAGACAGCTGTCCTTGCCAGGCCCTCCATCCTGCATCACTGACAAGGGGAAACCACGGCGGAAAATCTGGATGAACTTTCTCGGCCAATGCAGGGATCGAACACCCGACCTCCAGGCTAGCGAGCCAGCGTCTTACCCACTTAGCCACCGTGACCCCCGACTCAATGACAGACCTCAGGATCTAACAGCATGCCTAACAGAAGGAAAAGGCCAGAACAAATTGAAATCAATAAATGAAATGTATATATCCACTGATCTCTAAATTCCATTCAAAATGTTCGAAAGTTATAAAAAAAATCATAAATCACTAAACATAAGTACATCTGATTAAACCACAGATCCTATTTCGTTTCGTTTTTTTATAGTTCAAAATTTTGTTTTACTTATCTTTACTACACTAGGATCTGGAAGAGTTGTTATACAACCCGAGTTTTGCATGATGTGAGGAATTAGTCAATGAAACGGTCTGTTACGTTGAGTTTTTGGCGTTAAATGCTGATTGGTTAATCAGATGTCTGACGTCATAAGAGTCAAAAGCCGCTCATATGACCCCTGATGCAACCTTCCACTACAACCGCTCAGATCTTCATGTAGTAGAGGCCATTGAAAGTATAAAAAACGAGATGAAATATAGATCCGTATTTTAATCAGATTTAACAAAAGTACATCTGTAAATGAGAAAACTGATGTGAACTAATATTAATGACCCTGTATTTCGTCCATATTTCACGATATAAATCAACGATTGAGATGATTATGCACAAGTCTTCTATTTATGACCATATTAGGATATTTTTACACAACACGTCAACATCAATATCCCTGTTTTAAACACCATGCGTAAACCGTACTGTAGAATTTTCACCCTGTAAATCTGCGTAAAGTTTCATTCATTTTTTTGTTAGTTTCTTTTTCTTTTAATAAACCTACAACACTGCACCACAAGAGTCTTTGAATTAAAAATAAAAATGAAGAAATGTTCACCATACATTGTATGATATAAATTAAATATCCCCTAACAGTCTTTTATATTTCCATCTATATATACACATGTACAGCCTTATAGCGTGCTCTCAACAACACATTTTACAAAAAAAAAATCTTCTCATCACTGCAACAAAAAAAACCCAAACTCCCCACTAATTCAAATTCCACAAGGAACAGTCAAAAGAGTCGGTTTATATTCCTTGTCCTGAACCTGTATCAACAGCCATAGTCCAAACAATAACCCAAATTGTTTTTTGTGCAGCTGTCATCTACCGTAAACACATATTGTAAAAAGCTGTTTCTAACTGGTTGTTGTTGCTTCTCAATCACCAAGCAAGGTGGACATTCCAATCAAACTGAACTGTGTGGAGATTATTTTTCCCATGCTGAGAATCAAACCAATCTGAGTCTCCCCCCTGTAGACTGGGTTATTCTGTTCATCGCTCAATGTCCATAACAGTATTTCACCCTGTTTCACCATTTGTCTGTTTTTTAAAAGCCAATCATAGTGGAGCCATTCCGGATCCAGCCATGTGATTTAGGGAGCCATGCCAAATCCAGCAATGTGATCAGTGGAACAATGCTGTATCCAGCCATGTGATTAGAGGAGCCATGCCGGATCCAGCCATGTGATTAGAGGAGCCATGCCGGATCCAGCCATGTGATTAGTGGAGCCATACCGGATCCAGCTAAGGGATCTGTGGAGCCATGCCGGATCCAGTCATATGATCAGTGGAGCCATGTGGGATCCTGCCATGTGATTAGAGGAGCTCTCCCGGATCCAGCCACGTGATTTGGGGAGCCATGCGGTATCCAGCTATGTGATCAGAGGAGCCATGTTAGATCCAGACATGTGATCAGTAGAACCACGCCTAAGTAATTAGTGGAGCCATTCCGGAACTTCACATATAAAGGGTATTACTGTATTTGATCTTTTTTTCGCAAGAACTGATTGTTTAATTCACTACAATATGAGCTGCAGATGCCATTTTCATGTCCATCTACGAGTAATCTCCATCTTCTACACTTTGTTCTAAATATTTCCACACCATATAAGGAGGTTTTTTTTGTTCTTAATGGATGATTAAACTGAGATTTCATAACTTGTATCATACAAACTACGATTCTTTTCATCACGCTGCTGTTTTTTATTTTCTATGGCCGCCAAATGTCTGTTTCTCTGATCAACAGCGTCACTGACTTCCAGAGCCCGAACAAATGATAACGGTCGCCCGTGATGGTCGGGATCGCCCGCTTGTGGTATGTGTGAGTTGGGCATTGAGCGATTATATCCCGAAGTTAACGGTATGTGTGGTGGTGCCCCTGATCTAGGATTATGTCCCTTGTTCGCGTGTGAGTATTCGTTCCTATATGGAGAATTGTTTGAATGGTTTAAAACAGGTTGTGAACCTGATTTCGGAACGAAAGTATTTCCTGATGGGTGTGGCCTACTACCTCCTCTACTAACATGGGTGACAGGATGAACTCGTTCATTGCCTCTATCTGGAGTATGACCTCTCGCTCGATCAGGGTTCTGACCTCTACTTGTCTGCGGGCGCATGTTTCCACGGTAACCACGATCCGGGCTGTTAATACTGTCAGGGGAAGAAAGGGAGGCATGTTTCGGAAGAACGACATCATCAAGCGTGGCAATTGGTGCACGGCGACTGGGATGAACATCTAATCTATCCTGTGATGAGGGACGTGAACGCTGCGGTGATCTTTCGTAATAATTTTTTGTGCGGTAAATTTTGGGGGATGCCCTTCCCACAAGACTGCTGTGTGATTGAGCGGCTTGTAGCGAGGCCCCGATAGACGTGGTCTGAGAAGAATCAAATAAATTAGTATAGGAACCATTTTTCTTTTGTGTGGGTGGTGAAGGTTCACAATCCAATGATTGGCTGCCTTTATAATCTTCAACATCATCATGATAAATCGCCCGCGTCTGAAAATATAAACCATTTAGTTAATACATAGTCACATGACTAGTCATATAATAAAACATTCGGACAAGGTTCAAATAAAACAAAATATTTCCTTATAAATATTGGCAAAAGACATTTAAGTTTTTCATTTTTATAAGGCTAATGATGGTGACCAAAGACTACACCCATGTTATGGTGAGAACCATATAACTGGTTTTTTTCTGGACCACCCCGATCTGTTATATACAAGGACATCACTAGAACACTGATGTTGGAAATGAAATGAAATATAATTTAACGTCCCACTGTTCTGCTTCGACTGGGCCAATGAAGACGAGCATACACAATACAGTGTGCTGTGAGGAAAATTTTGCCCGGACAGCGGCACTACGGCCTACTCTTATATCGAATTCCAACTGTCAAGGGATCTTTTACGAGCACGCCAATGTGTACACAGGACCTCGTTTTTTTTTTCCATTCGAACTAGACGGCTGTCCTTGGCAGGCCCTCCGTCCTGTATCACTGATAAGGGGGGACCACGTGGGATGAACTTTCTCGGCCAATGCTGGGAACGAACAATCGACCACCAGGCTAGTGAGCCAGCGTCTTACCACTTACACACCGAGACCCTCCCCCATTTTACAAATCACATTAAAGTTTTGTCTTAAAGAGTGAGAGAGAAATGGGGTTTAACATCCACTCGACACTAACTAGGTCATTTCGGGACCAACACATGGTTTAATTTTATTTCAATCGTTCGCTTGCGCGTAGGGGTCTTTAACAGTGGGAGGAAACCGGAGGATCGGGAGAAAACTCACGAGGTTGGAATATCTGATGAACTATGCCACTTGAATCAATGACTCATTCGGCCAACCAACACCCCCCCCACCCCTTGTCTTACAGAGTTAATATTCGATGAACTATATCACTTTATGACCTGTGGCAACATGTGTTAATATATTGTTTTATCGAACCTAGTTTAAAACAAGATAATTACTGGTTGCAGATGTTGCTCTACATACACAAATATAAAACTAAAATTATAATCAATTAATTTCTAAAATATTTGAAAAATAACATTTGGCTTCAAATTTCTAAAATCTCTGAAAAATAAAATTGGTTTGAGTTGAGTTATAATGGTGGGTACCAATATATTGAACACAGTTCTGACGTACCAGAGATTAGAAAAATCATACCAGAGATAAGAAAAATCATACCAGAGATAAGAAAAATCATACCAGAGATAAGAAAAATCATACCAGAGATTAGAAAATTCATACCAGAGATTAGAAAAATCATACCAGAGATTAGAAAAATCATAAAGTAAAATGCTAGAATAACCAATGAAATTTGACTAATACCCATTACGGGGATATTCTCCCAAGATTTCATTCAAGAGAGAGAGAGAAATGGGGTTTAACGTCCACTTGACACAAACTAGGTCATTTCGGGACTAACATATGGTTTAATTTTATTTACATAATTCGCTTACGCGTAGGGTTCTTTAGCAGTGGGAGGAAACCGGAGGACCCGGAGAAAACCCACGAGGTTGGACAGGCGACCCTACTCCTTGTCACGTACAACCGGGGATTCGAAACCACACCAGTTGACTCAATGACAGACTTTATGATACAGCGCGTGCACGCTAACCATTCAGCCATCCAACCCCCCTGATTTCATTCAAAGACAAGTAGTAGAACACCACAGACAGTTTATAAAGCCTACTACTTATTGATACTTAACATGTATCCGTCTTTATTAGCCCAGTTGGAGCAAAACAGTAGGACGTTAAACCGGATTTCATTTCCTAACATGTATAAGGCGACTTGATGGATAAGATATTACTTTCATATTCAAATTTTCACATCAGTCTCTTTGTGTTAAATACATGATGGAGAGAGAGAAATGTGGTTTAACATCCACTCAACACAATCAAGGTCATTTCGGGACTAACACAAGGTTCAATTTTATTTCAATAATTCGCTTGCGCGTAGGGGGTCTTTAGCAGTGGGAGGAAACTGGAGGACCCAGAGAAAACCCACGAGGTTGGACAGGTGACCCTACTCCTTGTCACATACAAAATAAAATGGGGTTTAACGTCCTACTGGTGTACCAACAAGGGCTAATGATGACGAGCATACGCCATACAGTGCGCTATCCTGGAAATTTTGCCTGGACAGCGGCACTACGGCCTAATCTCATATCAAATTCCAACTGCCAAGGGAACTTTTACGTGCACGCCAATGTGTACACAGGACCTTCAAGTTTTTCATCCCATCCCAACGACTATACATTGTCCGTTGTCAAGGAACTCCGTTAAATACCGCAGACGAAGAGGAAGCATGCTGGAAAATCCTGATGAACTTTCTCTGCCAATGCAGGGATCCAACAGGGGACCTCCGAACTTCCTCGGCCAATGCAGGGATCGGACACGGCACCTCCATGTTAGTCTGTGAATCAAAACCACACCACATAACTCAATGACAGACCTGATAATCTAAAGTATTGTTAACATGTTTTAACCAGTAATCATCAATCAATATTAATATGAATATTTTGTGCTGGGAGAGGAAAGAACATTACAACATACATAATTATCTACATTATATCCTAAACATATAGAAACATTGTTACTATTCTCATTATATCAAATCATTTCATGTTAATAAATTCTCATCAGTCAGTTAGTAACCGATGGGTAACTTATAATTATAAAACAGAAAGAATAGTCATCGTAAACTTATATTCAGAATTCAAGTATGACTGTTTTAATCGCCCGACTCATGGAAATGAAATGGGGTTTAACGTCCGACTGTAGTGCACTGATTGGGCTAATGAAAACAGGCATAGACTATCACTGTAACCCAGGTATCGTTTAATCTTGTGTATCTAGCACTAATTTCTTTCACATTCGTTTAATATCAAATCTTTGTTTAAAAATTCATGAAAACTGTTTAAAATCACCATAAATCGTTTAATTTGTACATGTGTCCAGTTTAAAGCTGACTGATTAATTTTGATAATGAGTGTCCAATTTACAAGTATTTAATTTCCTGATCACTGTTCAAAAATTAATTATTATACATCATTAATCAATTGGGTTGTTTATTTTTTAACAATGATTGAGAAATTAAACACTTGTAAATTGGACACTCATTATCAAAACTGAATGGTCAGCTTTAAACTGGACAGAAGTACAAATTAAACGATTTATGGTGATTTTAAACAGTTTTTACAAATTTTTAAACAAAGATTGGATATTAAACGACTGTGAAAGAAATTAGTGCTAGATACACAAGATTAAATGATACCTGGGTGACAGTGCACTATACAGTCTGCTATGAGTGAAATGAAATGAAATGAAATGAAATGGGGTTTAACGTCCTACTTTTCTGCTCCTAACCTGGGCTAATGAAGACGGGCATATGCCATACAGTGTGCTATGAGGGAAATTTTGCCCGGGCAGCGGCGCTACGGCCTACTCTTATATCAAATTCCAACTGCCAAGGGATCTTTTACGTGGACGCCAATGTGTACACGGGACCTCGGTTTTTCGTCCCATCCGAACGACTAGACAGCTTTCCTTGTCAGCCCCTCCGTCCTGCATCACTGACAAGGGAGAACCACGCCGGAAAATCTGGATGAACTTTCTCGGCCAATGCAGGGATCGAACACCCGACCTCCAGGCTAGCGAGCTAACGTCTTACCCACTTAGCCACGTGATCCCCCTGCTATGAGTGAAAGCAACACTACAGCCTACTCTTATATTGAATACCAACTGTGAAGGGATCTTTAACTTGAAGGGGTCTTTAGCAGAGGGAGGAAACCGAAGGTTGGACAGGCGACCCTATTTCTTGTCACGTACAAACTGGGAATCAAATGACAGACCTTATGATCTAAACCTATTTTCACGACTAACGGAAAGTAGATTTACAAAATCATCAATGTGTCGGAGGCCAATAATCTTGTTTAAATTGTAACACAGAAAAGAATTAAAGGTGAGAGAGGGAGAAATGGGGTTTAACGTCCACTCGACACAAACTAGGTCATTTCGGGACTAACACATGGTTTAATTTTATTATAATAATTTGCTTGCGCGTAGGGGTCTTTAGCAGTGGGAGGAAACCGGAGGACCTGGAGAAAACCCACGAGGTTGGACAGTGGACAGGCGACCCTACTCCTTGTCACGTTCAACAGGGATTCAGAATTAAAGGTGTTCTTTTGACAGTAATATGGACAATTAAAACAAAACCTGAAGGCTAGATGTTTAACGTCCACTCAACACAAACTAGATCATTTTGGGACTTATCTATGGTACACTTATATTTCAATAATTCTCTTTATGTGCATATATGGGGTTTTTAGAAATGGGGAGGACCTGGAGAAAACCCACAAGGTTAGGCAGACGACCCTACTCCATACCACGTGAAAGTGAGGGATCGAAACTACTTGACCTAAGTCACTGACAGCACTAAACCACTGGAGATAAGACGATTTGACGACCCAACCCCCTTCCCTAATAAACAAGATACTATTAAAACATGCAGAGAGTATCTAAATAATAATATCAGTATTAATATAGTATGATATAAAATATCACTAATCTCTTAAAGGTGTATCTCTTTGATAGCTAGGACTCAAAATTTTAAAGATGCATTATGTAAGATTTAGATAAAAAAAAAAAAAAAACTGTCTGTTCTTTGATAGTTGGGACCCAAATTGTTAAAGATACATTATTTAAGATTAAAGTAACTTGGAGCTGACTGTTCTTGTTATAATAGTTCAAAAATGTAAAAAGAATATATTGAAAATTTCAGTCAGTTTTGATAAGATAGTTTTGATTCTCAAGTACCATAGCTACCGTAATAAACAAAGTCTTGATTATCCATTTTAAAGTTAAATCATTCTAATCCATTCAATATCATGGTCATCTAATGGTCTAGAGAGTTGATTTTGGGCTTGTCATGTGAATAAATGTTTAAATAATAATTTATATAAAATTTGAGGCCAGAATAAAGACTTGTAACAGGACGATTTAGCTCTTATATAATGCCTTATTCATTTCATCAAAGAAATACATCTCTTTAAATTTTAATAGAACAGTTTTTCTATTTACAAGTAATTAATTTTCTAATCAATATATTTATTAAAGAAGAAAATATTCTATTAAATTTCTATAGTATTATTACCCCCGTCAGTCCTGGGTGGCTTCCTTACTGTGCTACTAGGGCGATGGAAAATGGTCTTGGAGCGTGTCAAGATCGCCATAAGCGTGGTAAAAGCGCAGTGGAAATGCCAGATATCGTGCTGTGGTATCCATGGTCGCAAATGATGGCCAAGTCACAGCGTTTGTTTTAAGCATGTTCAAAGCAAACCCCAAGGTTCTGCGATCTGGCCTGGAAAGCTATGAGAACGCAGCTTTTTTCAAGTTTGTAATTTTTTTTGGACAATTTCTCGGGTTGTGTTCACGTTTGCCGGTGACTGTGTGTATTTTCTGGTTGCTGTATGGTCACAGATGCGCAGTAAGGATTCCCCCCGTCTGACGGCGGACATAATTAAATATATCTATAATATTAACAAATGGTTAAATTCCTATAGCGTAAATTATAATTATCAATAATATAAATATTCTATTAAATTTCTATAGTATTAAAGATACATTATGGGAGATTAGATAAAGAGTTGGCAGTTGTCACTACAATAGTTACAAACTAGATAATGTAAAGGGAATTTGCTGGAAATTTCAGTCAAATTCTGAACCGAGAATTTAGTGATTGAATTTTGGGCCTAGTCTTGATTATCTCGATTATCCATTTTTCGATTTAATCATGAATGAACGATGAGGAGCATATCGGATTATAATCCAGTAAATACCGCAGGCTAGCGATCACATCGAGAGTTGATATAGCCTGGATAAGTTCATTAATATCTAATTAATAATTTAGATAACATTTCAGGTCTAAAGAAAAGACATGTAGCTCTTGCATAATGTATGTTTAAATAAATCATATTTATCAATAATATTAACAAATGGTTAAATTTCTATAGTATAAATTATATTTATCTGGTAGTTATATTTCTATAATTTTAATTCATCAATAATATAGTCAAAGGGGTGTATTCTGTATTCTATTTTCTTATATTATTGAGAATTACGACAGAAATCACAAAGTAATGAGTATTTTTCAATTGACTTGATGCCGATCTTGAATGAGTTATCAGCCTCATCAGGTTAAGAGGTACTTTTGGTACTAACATATGGTTCAATTTTATTTCAATAATTCTCTTGCGCGTAGTAGTCTTTAGCAGTGGGAGAAAACTGGATGACTCAGAGAAAACTCACAAGGTTCGACAGGCGACCCTACTCCTTGTCACGTACAACCGAGGAATTGAAACCCCACCAGTTAACTCAATGACAGACCTTATGATACAACGCACACGTGCTAACCAATCGGCAATCCAACCCCCAAATTAAGAGAGGAGAGAGAGGGAGATGGGGGTTTAACATCCACTTGAACACAAACTAGGTACTTTTGGAACTAACATATGGTACAAGTTTATTTCAATAATTTGCTTGAACGTAGGAGTATTTTAGCAGTAGGAGAAAACTCAGTAGGTGTAGACTTGAAACCACTTGACGCAATGGCAGACCTGATCATCTACAAGTTAAGAGACAGAAATGGGGTTTAACGCCCACTAATCACAAACTAGGTCATTTTAGGACTAACATATGGTTCAATTTCTAGCAGTGAAAACCACGCAACTTGATTCAATGAAAAACCTGATGATCTACGCGTTTGACCTTTCGCTTTCCCCTGATCAATTGATCTGATAGAGAGAGAGAGAGACTTTATCGACCACTCAACACAAATTAGGTCATTTTGGGACTAACATATGGTTCAATTTTATTTCAATAATTCGTTTGCGCGTAGAGGTCTTTAGCAGTGGGAGGAAACTGGAGGACCCATAGAGAAAACCCACAGGGTTGGTCTGATACAATAATCTACCTGTCTTATTAACACCCCCTGTACTCAACCCCTGAATACACCCCTTTTATATATGTTACCTGTTGTTATCATGCAACTGACCAATCACTACACGTACGTACGTCACATGACATCAAAACACGAAGGATGCCGATATTGTGAAATATACAACCTTATCAATTACTCACACTGTTGTTTGGTGGATTTCCGTCGTGACGAATTCCGTTAGTTGACTCCGAGTAAATCTTCACATCTTTATCGGCAGCTACGTAAGTTATCTTCGACGAATGCACATTAATCGTTCTGGTCTTGGGAATGTATGAAATAAGTCTGGATAATAAAAATGAATAATTTATTAGGTCTGGACAATAAAAGTAAATATTTGAATGTATTTCTTTTGTCAATCTGATTAAAATACAGATCTATATTTCGGTTTTTTTTTTTTATACTTTCAATCACCTACACTAAATGAAGATCTGACCAGTTGTACTGGAAGGTCGTGTCAGGGGTCATATGAGTGGCTTTTGACCCTATGACATCAGACATTGATTAATCAATCAGTGTTGACGCTTCTAGGGGTTTACCCACAGTTCCGTGCAGAGAATGCCAAGAACTCGCCGTAACAGACCGTTTCATTGGCTAATTCCTCACATCAAGCAGAACACCTGTTATATAACAACTCTTTCAGATTCTAGTGCTGTGAAGACAAGTAAAACGAAATTTTGAACTATACAAAAACAGACGAAATAGGATCTGTGTTTTAATCAGATTGTTCTTTTGGCTTTTGAAATAAATAACCTTCATTAAAAGACCCTGTGTATCAGAAAATATTGAATTTTACACAGCCTTAACCACGCTTAAATGTACGCAGATTACTTATTGAACATCAATTTGAATAAAAAAATGAAAGTAAAATATCTATGGTAGATCATTTAGTTGTGTTGTTTTAGCAGGAGTTCCTGTATTTAATGTTTAGTTTCAAACCACTGTTGGAGAGAGAGAGAGAGAAATGGGTTTAACGTCCACTCAACACAAACTAGGTCATTTCGGGACTAACATATGGTTTGAATTTTATTTCAATAAATCGCTTGTGCGTAGGGGTCTTTAGTAGTGGGAGGAAACAGGAGGACCCGGAGAAAACCCACGAGGTTGGACAGGCACCCTACTTCTTATCACATACAACCGGGGATTCGAAACCACGCCAGTTGACTCAAACCACTGTTGGAAAACTGTTCAAATTTGTTGAGAATAATAGAAAAACATTGTATTTCTACTGTTGTGTAGGTAGTTTAAAGGGTCTGTCTAGATTAGATATGTTGTTGTTTGTTAGTTGTATTTTACGTCCGCTTCCGCCGAGGTGATATCGCAGACAAGTAGATTAGATAATGAGTGTTGGGTTTATAACTGTTTAGTTTCTAGAGAGCAGTGTCAAGTAATTAATTATTCTGTTAAAAACTCAACACCTTTTGAGTATTTGATTCAATCAGATTTAAAAGACATCGATTAAAAGATTGCAGTGAAAATCGAAGAAGTTTGTGTTGACTATATTTTTTCTACGGTATGTCGGATGTTTACTAATTTTCAATTCATCATATCTGTGTAAATACGGAACGAAATAGACTTTGGACAGATATTCCTTTAATGCAGCATTACAGAAGATTAGATAAAGAACTGACAATAGATAATGTAAAGAGAATATGCTGAAAATTTTAGTCAAATTACTTCACTCTGCACAGAGAAAAACGAAATTCAAAAACACTGAAGCCTTGATTGTCATTGTTACCGTTGTTACGATAATAAACCAAGTCTGGATCAGTTAATTAATGTCTAATTAATAATTTATATAACATTTCAGGCATAAAGAAAAATCTGCAATAGGTAGATTTCACTCTTGCATAATGTATGTTTAAGAGATTCAACTTTGCCAGTATTGTAGTCTGCAAGGGATTGAAATTCAATTCAGTGATCACAACCCTTAAATAGCTGAATAAACTGAGAAAAAAAAAGCTAATCATCACAATACCTTGAATTGTGATGTCATACTAAAAATCGAAATTTTTGTAAATCGACGCGCAATTTTCCAACGAACGAGCATGCCACGTTTCTAGTTGACCAAACTGGAATTGGCAGAGCCCTTGAATTTTTTCAAAAAACTGTCACCCTCGAGAAGAAGAATAAAAACCCAATGAAATGGGCTTTAACGTCCTACTGTTCTTCTCCGACTGGGCATATGCCATACAGTGTGCTATGAGGAAGATTTTGCCTGGACGGTGGCACTACGGCCTACTCTTATATATCGAATTCCAACTGCCAAGGGTTATTTTATGTACATGGGACCTCAGTTTTTCATCATATCCGAATGACTAGATAGCTGTCCTCGTCATGCTCTCCGTCCTGTAACACTGACTAGGGGAAACCACACCAGGAAATCTTAATGAACTTTCTCAGCCAACACAGAAAGCGAATCCGCAACCTCCAGGCTAGCAAGTTAGCGTCTTACCCACCATTTTACAAAGAACTAGAATAAGCAGGGCAGAGAGAAATGGGGTTTAACACCCACTCGACACAAACTAAGTCATTTCTGAACTAACACGTGGTTCAATTCTATTTCAATAATTCGCTTGCGCGTAGGGGTCTTTAGCAGTGGGGGGAAACCGGAGGACCCAAAGAAAACACACAAGGTTATACAGACGCCCCTAATCCTTTTCACGTACAAGCAGGGAATCGAAACCACGCCACTTGACACAGAGAAAGACCTTATGATACAACCATTCGGCCCCCCACCTAGAATAAGAATATAAGTATACTTACTTAGGCCACTGTGGACCACTGACTATATAACAACAGTTCTTGTAACAACCTTTATCAAACGGATTATGACCACCTTTAAATTTACCCGTCATCTGTACAAATCAGAAAATATAACATACTATTATTACATTAAACATATCTTATATTACATTAAACATATCTTATATTACATTAAACATATCTTATATTCATGGAGCTCAATGGCCTGGATTCAGATCAGAAAATAAAACATACTATTATTACATTAAACATATCTTATATCAACGGAGCGCAGTGTTGATCTGGTATTTCTATCATATCAAATGAAATGAAATGAAATTTAACGTCCAACTGTTCTGCCCTGAACTGCAGTCTGCGACATTAGCGCTTGTCCGATTGCCCGGGACAAGTAAAATTTTCATTGTGACTTGCCCACCGGTACAGTACTGTTTTTTAATAGAATGGGATACAAATGTACATTGGCGAAGATGACACGCGAAAATTTCGCTAAAAAAAATTAAAAATATCCATTTCCCCGTTGCTCACACTGTTAAAAAATCGAGGAAACGCGGTGGAGCGCAGTTTCTACTCCAAGGGAGACAATTCCATTTAATACTTGTCTACTTCCACTTTGACATTTATGACCTTGGAAATGTGACCTTTGTTGACGGTTTTCCTTGACTTTCGTTTTTCTGTTGTTGTTTGTCTTTCACTCTTTGTCATCGGGAGATGTTAAGATGGGTGGAAGGGGCACGGCTCGGCAAGACATTGAATAATAAGAAACGCGGATCCGGTGACGATGTTGCTCAAGTAGTAGCAGAATCAAAGCGCAGGTATGAAACAGTGTCACGTAAACGTGAATTTAAACAACATTGGCTAATTGGGAGGCCCTGGTTAAATGTGAACCAGAGGGAGAATGTCTCAGAATGATTCTGTTTCTATGACCTGTTCCTACTGCATCAAAACTAATAAAAATAACCGATTTGTGGATGCGATCACTGGAAACTTTAGGATTGTAAAGGCTGAACATTTTATCTTAATGAATAACAAAATATATGATCTAATAAAAAATGTGTTTTGTTCTTTTTTATTTCAATTGACCATTTCCATCTGACTGCTGACGGTACAGTAAAAAAAATTGGGGGCAAGTAAACATTGTCATTGTACTTGCCTGCAGGGCAAGTGAGTTTGAAAGTTAATGGTGCAGACTGGAACTGGGGTAATGAGGTCGGGCATACACCATACAGTGTGCTATGAGAGAAATTTTGCCCGGACAGCAGCACTACGACCTACTCTTATATCAAATTCCAACTCTCACAGGATCTTTTACGGGCACGCAAATGTGTACATGGGACCTCAGATTTTTGCTGGAAAATGGGGTTTAACGTCCACTCGACACAAACCAAGTCATTTTGGGACTAACACATGCCGTGGTTCAATTTTATTTCAATAATTCGCTAGCCCGTAGCAGTGGGAGGAAACCAGAGGACCCAGAGAAAACACACGAGGCTGGATAGACGACCCTACTCCTTGTCACTTACAACTGGGGAATCAAAACCACACCAGTTGACCTAAATGTAATGACAGACCTTATGATACAGCAAGCACATGCTAACCATTCGGCCATCCAACCCCCCTTTTATAAATAGACTTAAAATAACATATTCTGGTGTTAACCCCAGATATTATTGTTTATTTTCAGAGATCTTGTTTCATAACATTTTCAACGATTTAGCCGCCATATTGGATTTTATAAAATAAAATCCTTTAAATCGATATTCAGCCGTTATTTTGATTCGATTTTCTAAAGGAGGTAAACTAGGAATCAGATCAAAATAAAGTGTTGGATTGGGTGTTTTTTTTAATTCACCACTGTCCAGTATTGAATTTAAAATTGACTGTACCTGTTCATTTGTGGTTCTTCCTCTAGACACTAGCACCATATGAAAACCTGTTAACCCTATCACCGGTACAAACAATAAACCTATTATACACATTAATACTATACTGATTAACAATGTTAAAGATATATAATATACTAATATTTGTCATCGTAGTTTGTCTGTCTGTCTGTCTGTCTGTTCGGGGTTGGCGGCTACACTAGGTCTGCCCCGAGTCTGACATTGGGGGTATAGGGGTAGCTCGGACCGGGGAGTAACATAGGCCAGGTGGCGTTAGTCTACGACTTCCGGTTTTGGGGTTATGACCCCCGAGCGAAGCCGGGCATTCTGCTAGTATACTAACATTTGTCACCCTGTCTGTTCAGGGTTAGCGGCTACATTACACAGGGGCTGTATGTCATGCTAACTCGTCAAGAACAGTCTTTGCTTATTAAAATCCACGAGGTTGGACAGACGACCTTACTTATTGTCACGCACAACCACATCTTCAATAGAAGGCTTGATCTCGCCTTAACTACGTACATCTTATCAAGCCCTTCACGTAATACCCCGCATATTTTAGCATTAATTTCGATTGGGTATAAGCCCAGCTTGTGATCCTATCAAATTCCTTCGTTAAAAATATGGTTACGATTATCAAGTCTTGCACTTCTAGCTTAAATGTCTACATGTGACAATCGAGTTGCAAAGTTCAAGGTTTGATCAATGTCAAGGTTGCTGGCTTAGCTGTAAACTTGTCTATTTCTTTTTCTATGGAGGCTGTCATATTTGTTTACAGTGTGTTATGTGCCACGACCTCTGATTGGACAATGCTAATTAGTCACGTGTAAACACAACGAGCGCAAAAATTTGGGAATTGTTGAGTATTGAAGCAACGACTAGATGTTGTTAAACTCACGGTCGTTGCTTCAGGAACATGGCACAACAGGCAAGTTGACTCAATGACCGACCTTATGATGCAATGCGAATACGTTAACCATTCAGCCATGCCTCCCCACCCCAACTCAATGACAGACCTTATGATCTAAAGCACACATTAGACCATTCGACAACCCAACCCCCCACAATAAAAGACGGGACAGTATTCTCCAGAGTGCTATCTTAACTTTTTTTCCGGCTGTCCTGATCTCCGTTCATGATAGTCTTGTGTTATCGTAGACGGGTCCTGACGGCCCCTAACTGATTAAAATACAGATCTATATTTCATTTCGTTTTTTTATACTTTCGATGGCCTACACTACATGAAAATCTGACCGGTTGTTTCGGGGGGTCGCATCAGATGTCATACGAGCGGCTTTTGACCCTATAACATCAGATATTTGATTAACCAGGCTTTTGACCCTATGACGTCAGATATTTGATTAACCAATCAGCATTGGATTACTCATGGTTCCGTGCAGCTCGCCGTAACAGACCGTTTCATTGGCTAATCCCTCACATCATCCAGAACACATCAACGATAACAACTCTTCCAGATCCTAGCGTAGTAAAGACAAGTAAAACGAAATTTTAAACCATAAAAAACGAAAAGAAATAGGATCTGTGTTTTAACCAGACTGGGATGTCCCATGGTTGTTTATTTAAAAGGATACGAAACTATGGTGCCAGCTTCTGTGATATTATCTCGATGATCAAGGATATAGACTAAACACTGGGAGAATAAACTCAACATGTGCAATGATAAAGATGTTAAAAATAAAAAGAAAAATCGATAATTTCTTCTTCCTATACAATTATTTAACCATGGACAATGATGATCAAAAGTCTGAAATATAAAAATAAAATTTCATTAAAATTAATAAAGTAATGGACTCTGCGACCATACGTACTGATAAACAGGTGAAAACTAAAAGACTTTGATATTTTGAGAGAGAGCTTGTCAACCTGGCATTATTTGAAATTCTTTTGAAAAATGATAATTTTTTGTGTACATGTATTTCAGATTTCTAGAAATTGTACTTCTTTCAAATACACTTTATATCATTAATGTGTCTATTTTTAGATTTCATTGATTTAATTGAATTACAATTGAATACGGTGGCCATTAAGAAGTGTTTTTGAGTTCATATAATTTGTGTGAATGTTATTGATAAGAAGGAAAGCCCCAAGGTTTTGTATCGTATAGGCTACCAGTACAATAATCAATATATTGTCAATAATTATATAATATGTGGATTAATTATTCATACACCATAGGCTTACTATATCTATACTAATTGTTTACATCATACACCATATAGGACTACCATATCTAATAGTTTACATCATTATTACATTAGAGAGAGAGAGAGAGAAATGGGGTTGTAATTTTGGGACTCTCCTCTAAACACAAAATAGGTAACATCTGGACTAACACATGGTTGAATTTTATTTCTATAATTCGCTTGCACGTAGGGGTCCTTAGCAATGGAAGGAAACTGGAGGACCCAGAGAAAAACCACAAGGTTGGACAGCCTACCCTACTATTTATCATGTACAACCGGGGATTAGAAACCGCGCCAGTTGACTCAATTACAGACCTAATGATTCAACACGCACATGCTTACCATTCGGCCATTCAAACCCCCTAAAAGAAAAACATGAATGAAGAAAATCAGTGGATGTTATAAACTACAGAGTTAAAAGAAGGCTTTACACAGTCTTGCTGTTCTTACCTCTATACAGGTATTACAAACACTACAGTGTGAACATCTCGGTGGACGATAAAACTGACAAGTTGTACACCATTTCATCCGCACCGTTATCCCCTTTATTTCTATATTTTTATATAACGGAGCTCGGAAATCATCATCCTTAGCCTCATCTTCATGAGCTAAAAATAGACATTAATACCATAGAACAATTAATACTATTACTACTACATTATAATCAGCTTATTATTATTTATTAGGTTTAAAGGGGGTATGGCTCTAATCTTTCAGAACTTAAAATAGACGGAAATGGGTCTACAAGCACATATTAATGTAATATGAATGTATATAATGAGATTTGTATTCAATTTTTAAAAGAATTTGTAATTAATTATTATTTATTAGGTTTAAAGAGGGTATGGCTCTGTTTTTCCAGACCTTAAAATAGATGATAAAGGGTCTGAAAGCACATTAAAATGTAATATGAATATGTACATGTATATAAAGCGATTTATATTCAATTTTTAAAAGAATTACAGTAATATGAAATCAATTAGGTTTAGTGAAATACCTTTAAAGTTCAAATTGAGCAACAGTAGTTTACACCTGCTTAGTCCATACACATTTTTTTTATTATTATTATAATTTTGTCATTTGTGACTCAGCCATTACTAATTTACATTTACTTTCATATTGTCTTGTGGGATGTATTTTCTTTGTTCATTACAAATAGCGCCCATAACCATAGAATACACGACTTGTGTACTGATTATAGAACGTTCATTGTGTCTTTAACATTGGATATTAGGATCCGATATTTTCACGGCAAGATAACAACATTAATATTGATTGAAATGGACGGGGTTTTGCTCCTTTAATTATAACTTATAATGACATCTGACTTCAGATAAACCATGAACATGCTTATCTTCTTAATGAGGTATTACAACTTTCAACAATAAGTAATTAGTTTTACATAATCATGTTACAGTTATTAGGCACTAAGGGAAACTTTGCCAGAACAGCTGTGTTTTCACCGGGAACCTGTTATCGCCTACTCTACATCACTGTTCGGTGAATTAAAACTGTCAGAGTATCACTTTGAAGGTTCTTATACAGGCATGCTAATGGGTATCATGGTACCCGGTTTTTCATCCTATCAAATTGATTCTAGATGTTGTTGCTTGCAAGACCCACCCACCTACACATGTTGATGTACATGCACAGTACCATTCTGCACACAGATATATATCTACTTCATACTTTGAGTATAAATCTCTGTCCTGAATGGCCACCATATCCAAAAATTAGTATCCTACATTGTTTTTTAATGCAGTTCTACTCTGTTTCACATACACACAAAGACTAAATAAACCTATTCAATTCCATTAAATGGCAGCAGAATCAATACTTTTCAAAATTCTCGAAGTATAGCCTAGTTTAGTGTTTTTAACTAAATTCCTCGATTTATGATTTAAACTGTCGGTCAACTATAGCTTAGTGTCTGTTCTCAAGCGGAGCTACATGTAAAAGTAGACAGACAGCCTCAGCACTGGATTAGCAGATCAGTCCTAAAATTTGCATGGCCTTCTGTCAGAACAGTCAAATCAAAGCAAAATAAATTTATTACTGGCCGGAAAAGATCTCCATATTTCTTTAATCATTAATTGTAGAAGAAGGAAATTTAAATGTGCCATGAGCATTAACTTGGATGGAATGGGTGAATATTACAACTGACAATTATCTCCCTTATTCTACTTCCCTGTTCTACAAATTATATATTATAAGCTTATTGTACTATACCTTTGGGATAAATACCGGGATCCATAAATGTCGCCATACACAGATTGGCAAGCACAAATATCGTTAATATACCAGCAAATATTGGTATACCAATTGAATATGTTACTAATAAATATCGACATCTGAAATGAAATGTGACAATAAAGTTTAATTACCCAATTACATTTTAATTATTCAATAGCGATTAGTCATCACAGTCTGCATGAAATGACAGAAAACAGGACATTTTCAATGTGTCAATTAATCATATACGCAACTAGTCATGTTTAAATATATTAATAAACATGACATTTAAAAATATCATTGTTAGGCGTACATGTACATGTAATTCCTTGTTAAATTAAGCTTCAGACACAGGAAGTTATAATAAAAAGATGGCTTGAGCACCATATGTATAGGCCTACATGTATAATAATTAGATTTTGAGTAGGATAGAATATGTAATTTATTTGTGGAAAGCTTCTAGTCTACCATAGAATCATAAATGTATGTAGATATTAATCTACATTTCTAATTCACATAATAATTCAAATTGTCAATTGTATTTTGTGAGTTGACAAGAAAACAACAGCAATCACAGTGTATCCAAACAATAAACAAAATATCCCCTTATAATTCCAGCATCAAGGCTTTGTGAGATAGTATCAACACAATCAAATTGGTTGCAGCTGCGAAATTGCCCAACCCTTTTTTTGTTAGCAAATCGTCGTTCTATTACTCACACAAAAGCAAAATACAGGGATGTTGCTCCCAGCAAGAGCGTCCAGGCACATGTTGCTGGGATAATTCGGGTAGAACATTCACACCTTCCCATAGTTACATTGATCAAAATTCTTTAAATATTATAAGTTTTTCACAAACAAGAATCATATTCAGTTTTTGATGTCAAAGATGGCATATCGGTAAATTCAAGAACCAAACAACACCTCCTCCATGACCGAATGCGCGACACATAAATCACCCGGAAGTCACGTCTTAACTTCGCTAATTAGTCCGTTATCTTAAAACCCAATCAAATTGAAATTCGATCCCTTTGTTCCCGTTTGATCACTATCAATTGTGTCTGTTTTTTCCGGCAATCTGTAAAATTTCTCAGGTGAAGCCTTCTGACGCGAAATGATATGCATCCGGAAGTCGTTTCCTGCGCAGTCTATAACCAGTTCGTCACAAAACTGATCAATGCGATTCCCCTATAACCTGTTCGTATCTTCTACTGCACGAATCGGTATATTTCGAAAGACATTGAAAAAAGACCCTCTGTTCTGGATAATTCGTATCTTAATTATCTTATTTCGAGCTTAATGTACCCAATCCCTTCATCCTTTACCTAGATGCATGGCTTACGAAATCAAAACGACAAGTGTATTCGAGTTCCCTACTGTTATCCTTGTCCAACATGACGGTTTGACTCGGTACCCATTATGACTAGGTGCCTAAAATAAGTACCCCTGTCCCGCACCCCCCCCCCCCCCCAAAGTGATTTGTGCAATGGCTCCCTTTCAAGAGACAAGGTTAGGAATTAGCCAGAAGATAGTCTAAATGAAAGAAGTCCAGATTATACTAAATGGGTATTGATTGACACCAAATTACAATTATTATTATATTATATTAATGAAGATCGGATAGGTGTTATATATAAATTATGCGGGCTCAAGAGTTTATTGGGCATAAAATTGACAAGTATATGTTCAATAACACTAAACATAACAGAATGAAACATTTAAGACAGAGAACGAATAGTAATAATAGTAACACAAGATGTTATACATATTTGAAATCAACGAAACATACTACAGATTTTCATAATACAATTAAATATAAATAAAATTAGAAATATATATTATTTACATAAATCATACAGTAAACGACATGAATAGTGTTATTACCCTTATAAAAACGAACGCGAAACGAAGGCCGTTTCATTAGATTTTGAAAATACAATTAAATGAATTAAAAATATATACATTGTTTACATAAATCATTCAGTAAATGGACATGCATAGGATTATCTACCCTTATAAAAAAGAAGGCGAAACGAAGGCCGTTTCATTGGTAAGACTGGTGTGTAAACTATTTTTTGATTGGTTCGTAGACTTTATCTACAATCAAGGCCAGGGCAGATAATTTGAAATCGTGGAAATCCTATGAATTAACCCAAAGTATAGTGGAGTAGAACGGAATGACCACTAGGGAAACCGAGGATGTGCTATCTATCTATACTAATATTTGTGACTATCGTTTGTCTGTCTGTCCGTTTGTCTTTTCGTGGTCGGCAGCTACTCTAGAGCGCCTTTATGATAGGGTAGCTTATGCGTCTCTATACCATTGAAGGTCGTGAGTTCGAATCCAGACAGGAGTTCTACCTGTCACACATACATTAACCCATACCGGGGTTATACAGCAGACAATAACCCAAAACTCATCAGATCCACTCTTATAATGATGCTTGGGTTTTAAAATTACTTTACCTGTATGACACGCTTTTCTTCTTCTGTCTTTGGCCACCAAATGGTGTAGCTGTTTGGTAGTGTGGGGAATTCTGCTGCAATTGTTGCTCAGGACCCACACCCCGGTAATTTCTCTGCCACCAGTGATCTATTGACCGATCACAAGCCCTTTGAAGTAGCTAGAGCCTCTTCAGAGGAGAGGGCGGACTAGCGAAAAAGTAGTTGTGCTATGTTCGACTCTCCCTCTCTTCGAACAAACGGAACAAACTGTATAAAACTATAAAGTTTTTTGATGTATTATAACATATATACATGTAAGTTTTAATGGACTGGGAAAACTCTTTTATACTATACTGTTCATTAACTGCAAGCAGTTAAAGGCTGTATCTTTGCATTAATCGCAAGCGTTTAAAGTCTGTATCTGTTCCATAGACGCAAGCATCTAAAGGCTGCATCTGTTTATAACCTGCAAGTAGTTTAAAGTCTGCTTATTAGATGAAAACATCAAAGGGCTGTAACCTCAAAGAGTACTCCTCAATAACTTCGGATGCAACTATACCTAGGGCTTCGCTTCGACCCTGGAGACGGATATCCCAGTGTGAGCAACTGACCCTTGGTACTAGCGTTGTCAACTGATGGACAAAACCAAGCCCCATATGCAAGTAGATTGCTTGGCCAAAACTTCCGTTTGATCCGAACACCGTCCTCAGTAAAAAAAGAAATGTCAAATTCAATTTAGTACTATGAAAAACAAAGTAAAACGATCAGAAATTGGCTTCTGGTTTCAATCGGAATGGACAAATACATGCCTCACTGATTTAATAAAATTTAATTATTATCAATGAGACAGTCGCAAGTTATATTTGGGCGATGTACAAATCATATTTATCACCCAATAATACATTTTACAGTAGATATCACTTTTGTGATAAATTTCATAATCTACTGCGATATCACCTAGCAGTGGGAGGAAACCGGAGGACCCGGAGAAAACCCACGTACAACCGAGAAATCGAAACCACACCCGTTGACTCAGTGACAGAGCTTATGATACAGAGCGCACGTGCTAATCAGAGGCGTAGCCGTGAAATATATATTGGGGGTGGGGGGTCCGCAACCCTAACCCCTAACCCTAAACCTTTTTTTTAAAACCCCTAAAAAATATAAACAAACACCATGTGGCCATGCTGTCTTCACAGCTCGTTTGCTGATTGGCCCAGACACCGCGTGCAAAGCATTATGGCTGGCTGAGCGGGCTAATCATTCGGTCACCCCCACCCTCTCGCCTATGATCAAACGAAGCGCGAGGAAAAAAAATAATGTAAGGTTTTTGCATTGTCTTGAAACGCGTAGTCAGAAACCGGGATATGGGTAGTGGGTAGGTCGAAAGCGGGGGTGGGTTGCGGGTGGGGGTGTGTAATGGAGGGTATATTGAAGTTTGACATCTTCCATTAAAAATCTTACGTGGAGTCGTTTTTCTTCCAATTTACTGCACACAGTGATGACATGAATAATATAAAATACAACTAGACAAAATATAGCCTACATGTAAAAAAAACAATACTTGGATAATGCTAACCAACCAAAGACACGTCCTTTCTAATTACCTTGAAGGGAGCCTTACTTAAAGATACATTGTGTAAGATTTAGATAAAGAGCTAGCCATTCTTGCTATAATAGTTTGAAAATAGATGTAAAAATTTCATTCAAATTACTTTATTGCGAGCGACGATATTAGCCTTTGAAGGTTTGAAAAGACGTGTACAATAATTTCAACCACCGTACTGGTTGTTCGAAGCTAAGTCTCGCTCCTCCATTTTTAGCTTAAATCAAAATATGGCTGAACTGTTCTAATCTATTCAATATCGGAGGAATCCAGTGCCATCGAGAGTTGATTATGGCCTGGATAATTTAATTAATTTCTAATTAATAATTTAGAAAGACCTGCAATAGGTAGACTTAGCTCTTGCATAATGTAAAAGGTAACGTAAATTATACACGCTTAATGGGGAAGTAACAGTACGCCCTCGCCATTATGTTTATATATGCGACGTATTACGTCTGGTCAAGGACAAAGGGTTGTTCGCTAATTCTCCCGTCACATCGACCTTTGGACCATGTACTTCATCCCATTTTTCTTTACAGTAACACCCGCAGAAACCAAGGCCTACTGCCAGTAACACGGTAACGGGTAAAATAAAGAATAAACCAAACCACATAAGGAATCGTAAATGACAGTTCGGTTTCACCGAGCTCTTATGGTTGTAAGACCATTCGTCTCCGATCCTAATAATTAGTTCCTGCTCTTTACCGAAATCGAGTTCAAGGTCACAGTCTGTTTGTTGTCGGCATTGTCTAACTGTCTGGGACAAATCGTACACCGTGTTATTGATAGTTATGTGTTGGTCCACACCCTTGTACGGTGACCTTACTACGTAATAAATGTCATCTGACGTCACATCGTATACACCGGAATCATTTTAGAGCTGCAATCGTCCATGATATCGACGGATTTTCCTACGGAACTTGGGTGGTTTCCAAAATCCCACTCCTTCCAATTTCTGTCCCCTCTGATAATCAAAATTTCACTTTTTGGCAGAGTTTTGTTAATTATGCAGCCTTTCACGTGAATTGACGATCCCTGTCGTAAGAAGGAGGGGTAATAATAATAACCAGTCGTATAATTATATATTGCGTCAGTCTTCATCAAGTTAACAACATCACGCATTGTCTGGCTAATTTTCGCTTCTCCATTGATGAGGAAAACGTCAGCAGAGTAGTCTGTGTCCAATCCGTACTTGTCGCAGAATACCGTCGAGAAACCACTAAATATATCGCTTATAACGTATTGCTGTCTTTGATAGAGGGTGTCGAACCGGAAACGATTACAATTTATCGCTGAAGGTGAACAGGTCATAACAAGGACAATCACAGGTACACAAAATCTGGCGTAATAATAACAATATCCTTTCCAAGAGGTCATCGTTGGTTTCGTCAATCTGAAACGACACGGAATCAGTCTGCATTTTTACTTTGATAATTATGTCCACCATAGACCATCATAACACAGGAAGAGAGAGAGAGAGAGAGGGAGAGAGAGAGGGGTGGATGGGGGCACGTCCACTCGACACACACTAGATCATTTCGGGACTAACATATGGGTCAATTTTAATTCAATAAATCGCTTGCGCGTGGCCACCTACCTCCCCAGCGAAGAATGGGGTTTAACGTCCACTCGACACAAACTCGGTCATTTCGGGACTAACATATGGTTCAATTTTATTTCAATAATTCGCTTGCGCGTAGGGGTCTTTTGCAGTGGGAGGAAACCGGAGGACCCGGAGAAAACCCACGAGATTGGACAGGCGCCCCTTCTCCTTGTCACGTACAACCAGGGAATCGAAACCACGCCAGTTGACTCAATGACAGACTTTATGATACAGCGAGCACGTGTTAACCCCCCCCCCTCCACACACACACACACACACACCCACACACCCAACAGGAAGAGGGGACCCCAAATCATTTTTTTTTTAGATAAGTGGACTCATGAGGTTTTTCCAGGCGACCGGTGATATGATACTTTGCAAAAACCCAGACACGTGATTCAGCAATGCTTAGTGCATAATGTAATGTTTAAAGTGTAGCTAATTCAAAATTGTATTTTTCTTCAGAATGTATGAAGGCA